AGGCACCTGCAGCCAAAAAGCGTCGTTCTGCGCAGCCTCGAAGTGGTGCTGTTGCTGCAGCGGCTGCTCCGCCTCGCGGCACTCACACAACCCGCAGCGGCCGCACCGCAACATTATATAAATAGTGCTTTCGGCAAATGAATTGCATACATCAATCGACTATAATACTAACAAACCTCGTGATAATTACTATCGTGGCTGTTTCTACAGCCTCATTTTGCTATGGTGCGTGAGGTGGGTGCTGCGTGCGGAACGCGGAACCGTGCGGCACGAGCTCCGGCACGGTATGGCCGGCTCGGTGATAATCTACGTTAGCCACTGATCAAATACTAACGATCACCTGAGTATAGTCCCACAGGCTCCGTGACACAAGTGTATTCTGTTGTTCTATGTTGTTGTGTTGCTTGTATCTTTGCTCTCCAAGGCTCGCTGCGGGGTCTGTTTTGATGACGTCTTTGTGATGCAGACCAACGCCAACAACACGTGATCTGCTTCTCCTCTCAACCGTTACAGATGTTGTAGAACCTCAACAAAAATTTGTGAACATACTCTCATTGAGACACAAATCATGCAGCCTGAAGCTACAACATATGGACAGAAATGCATGCACCGAGAGCTTATCGCAGTTCGGCCTGATGTGGGTGGGACCCATGCAGGCAGCTGGGCATTGATGCAGCGAGCGGCTTCTCGCTGCATGCACGCAACCAATCAAGCATGCACACGAACACGCAGAACTCACCGGTCTGTCCTGCGCCCGCCGCACTGCATTGCAAATACATTTACCCTTGCTAGACCTCCCAAAGACCTGTCCTGCATAGCCCAAATAGAAAAAACTCTTCTCCGCACCATAGCTGATATTGGGGATCGACAGTGAATCAACATTCGAAGGATCGTCTGTAGACAACAGCTCACGAATAACCAGAGATGTCAGAGCGACTTTCCACATCGAGGTATGCTGAGCATATTCAGAACAGAAGACTGCTCATTGTTTCGCAGTTCAAAGGAAGTCGGAATCATCGTGATGGGGCTTACGGGTGCTGGGAAAAGCGCGTACATCTCTCGACTTACGGAACAAAATGTCGAAATTGGGCACATTTTGCGATCATGTAAGTATACACCAGCTGTCAGGATGAGACACTCACAGTGCACCAGGCACGACTAGGGTCAATGGCTATCCATATTGCCAGCCCAATGGTCAGAGGATCTGGCTTATTGATACACCAGGTTTCGACGATACAAACAAGGCTAACGCGACTATTCTTCGCGAGATCGTTTCATTCCTTTGTGCGTTCTGTCACGAAGGAAATCTAATAATTGGTGGACTGCTTTACATTCACAGAATCACAGACATACGGATGGCTGGATCTTCTCTGACCAGTCTGCGAATTCTTGAGGCATTGTGCGGAGAGGCCTGTTTTGGAGATATCACTGTTATTACAACAATGTGGGATACGCTTCAGACTCAAGCTGCGAGGGACTTGGCCCAAGGTCGTGAGTTGGCCCTTCAAAAGAAAGTGAATTTCTTTGGTCGCCTCAAAAGTAAGGGCGCCGAATTTAAGAGATCCTCAAAAGACGGGAGATGCGGCACTGCTATCATCGAGGCGATAGCAGGTCGGAAGAAACCAGTCACATTTGCAGTACAGACGGAGATGATGTCAAATGCAAACATCAAACTCGCCAATACAACAGTCGGTACGTACCTTAATGGTAACCTCAAGCTGACTCGTCAAAATTTGGAAAAAAGATTGAATCAAGTTGAGGCCTATAGCAGAGGAGACCCGGAAGGCAATGAGGACCTGATTGCAGATATCAGAGAACAGCTGCATCTTCTGAATGAGACTGCAGGTGATCAAGAGTGTTTGAATGTCACATACGAGGAGCTGAGAAGAGAACGCAGGATTGAGCTTGGGGCAAATATGGCGCAAGATGTTGAGCGCGAAAATGATACTGTAAAGACCACTACAGAAATCAAGCTGGAACACGAGATCAAACGATTGAGGCAGGACAATAGAGGGTTACAACAAGGTCAAAAACAGTTGAACAAAGCGAGGGAAAGGGAGCTTGCGCAGCAACACACACAGATACAGAGCCTTGAAGATGCACTCGCATATGAAAAAGCTCAGAAAGACAACAAGTCCAAATTCCCTGGGTTTTTTGATTTCATCCTCGGCCGTACTGCTAAGGTCTCTACAACAAGGAATGAGATTACCTCATCTATCCACGAAGGAACTAGGGAGTCCAGGCAGCACGAATCTCGACGAAGTCGTTCAAGAAAACCTAGGCAACAAGATCAAAGATCCTCTGATGCAGCGGTCAGGACTTTAGTACCGCACAGTGTGTTCAATCACGCAAGACCAGCAGACCCTGGGATATCACAGACTTCAATGAGCGATGGTCCACCGGAATACGAACACTCCATAGCCACAACAGCCAGGTCGACCTCTCCCGAAAATCTCAATCGTAACGGAGGTTATCCTGCAAATGTCATCATTGACCCGAGTGGCATCAAACGGAATTACTCAATGCCTTTATCGTTTGCCATTCCTCGCACGATACCAATCTATGAGAATGAATAGAACAATTCGCTGTTTGAAGTGTATTCGCACCGCTAATAATGACCTGCGATTCGATTTTTGTGCCCTAGGCAGTTCGCATCGACGTAGAGACACGTCAAAGAATGAAGTAAGACACATACATACACCAACTAATGTTCTCGTACCAACCAAATTGAATATTTTACATTTAGAAGCGGTTCATCTGAGTGGCTCTGTAAATGATTCACTGGATTTTAGATGAAAATTTGAGGCGGCTGAGCAGGGCAGTACCCTCGTACTTCCGGTGAGTGCTCTGCCTCATCGATGCCGCGTGGACAAGTAAAAGGTTGGATATGCGCACAAACTATTGCTCTATGCAGTGTGCGCTGGACCAATCGCCAGATCAAGGCGCATGCAGGCTTATGCACATCGTAATGGGGGCTGAGTGATAGTGGAGAGACCTTACATAGCTTTCTTCATGCATTCAAAAGAATATATAATATGCGTCACCGGCGCATCGTACATCGAATGAAGTCCTGCTCGTTCACAATATTGATCTTGTAATATTTGAGCTCTTTTGTCCCTTTGCGACTCGTTCTGGGTACACCTAGGTAATTTCCAAGCACTCTGGCTCGATCGAAAGCTAGAGTCGTGTAACGGCCTTTCATCCATTATGGAAAATCTAGGTTCTACAACACGTGAGCGTACAGACAGTGTCTTGTCCGGTAAACAGGGTGTCGTCAACTTGGGGTAATTCAAGCATCTGGATAGTAAAATCTCGTCTTAAAATTGGGCTGATGTCCGGAACAGGCCTCAGGATGTCATAATCGCCGTCATGGGTATTACTGGATGCGGCAAGACCAGTTTCGTAAATTTGTTCACTCATCCTGATCAAAAACTAGTTGTTGGGCATGGTCTAGAATCATGTAAGCATCCGCTCTAATGTTGAAAGTCACACTGTACTGATCGTCGTATGCCAGGTACTCAAGTAGTGGATGTCGTTCCTTGCGACTTCGGAGAAGGCGAGACGTTTTACCTCGCTGATACTCCTGGCTTCGACGACATGAGCCGTACAGATACCGAGATACTCTGGGAAATTTCCGACTGGCTTATCAAGGCTCACAAGTCGGGCCTAAAACTTGCCGGCATTATATACCTGCACCGTATACCTGACATACGTGTTGGTGGATCTGGGCTGAGAAATCTCAAAATGTTTCAGAGGCTCTGTGGAAAAAAAAATCTTACGAACGTCGTTCTTGCTACAAACATGTGGGATCAAGTGGATCTTGAGACTGGCAAGAAGCGTGAAGCTGCGCTCAAGAACGATCCCGGGCTCTGGAAAGGGATGATTGACCATGGGAGTCAAGTATTTCGTCAAGACAACGGAAGAGCGTCCGGGCTTGACATACTCAAATATCTGATTGGCCAGAGGTCGCCAATGGTTCTAGACATACAGCGCGAGCTTGTCGACCATAAGATGCAGCTGAAAGACACTAGAGCTGGCAAAGAGTTACTGACGGAGGTTGAGCGAGAACACCAAGAGAACCTTCAAAAGGTTCGAGATCTGGAAGCCAAAGTGCAAGAACTACAAGAGGCAGACACTAAAGGGAAGCAATCACGGGAACAGACATTGCAAACGATCGAAGTATGGAAAGAAAAGAAGAACTTGGCTGAGCGAAAGCTTGCCCAGACAAAACAAGATGCTATCAAGCTACACGCGACCCATGATCAGCTAATGGCTGAGCAAAAGAGACATTACGAGCAACAGCTTCGAGAACAGCAGGGCAGGCAGTCACTGAGCTTGGACCAAGTTCGCGAAGAAGAAGGAAAGAAAATCAGGCAGAATTATCAACGAGAGATGCGCAAAATGTGCATCATGATGTAATCGTCGTAACTTAACCTAAACTATCACCGAGTGTCCCACATCACCGAGTGTCCCAAAACTTGCCAAGCCCTCTACCTACTCTCTCTCTCTAACATGCCTCAACTACCAAACGCGTTATTACTTAAACATGAAGGGAGGCTTCAGCTTGCTATTAAAGCCTTAAAATCTGGACAATTCTGAAGCCACTAGGCTGCTGCAGAGGCATTTAACGTTGATCGCTGTACACTCTCTCGTCGCGTCTAAGGACTCACATTTCGCGCAGAAGCTGCCCCTAACTGCTAGAAGCTCACTGCGACTAAACAGCAGATGATTATCTAATACATACTTAACCTCAACTTGCGAGGATTTGCGCCCTGGCTGTGCGAGGTGGCAGATATGGCTGATAAACTGCTGGCTGTACGCGGTGGCAAGCCTATTAGCAAGTGCTGGGCTGATCGCTTTGTAACGCGCTCACCTGAGCTTAAAATAGCCTTTAATCAAGCAAAGGATAGGCAGAGAATACTCTAGGAGGATCTAGAGATAATTAGCGCGTAGTTTAAGCTAGTAGAGGAGACTAAAGCTAAGTATAGCGTCTACAATAACAACATGTACAACTTTAATAAGACTAGCTTCTAGATAGGTGTAATTAGCTCTATAAAGGTCGTCACAGGTGCAGAGAGACGCACCCAACCTGCGCTTGTTCAGCCAGGCAATCGCGAGTGGGTTACAGTTATCCAGAGCATCTGCGCTGCTGGGTACGCGACCCTACCCTTCATTATCTACAAGGGATGCGTCTACATCTCTGCCTAGTACAAGGAGGCTTTAATACTACGTAATTAGAAGCTCTTAGTCTCTAAGAACAGCTAGACAAACAACGCGCTTAGTCTAGAGTAGTTAAAGCACTTTAACGCGCATACAAAGACGCGCCAGGTAGGGGGGTACTAGCTGCTTATTTTAGACAGCTATAAGAGCTACCTTAACTAGCATTTTAAGGACTACTGCCTTAAACACAAGATCCTAACCCTCTGTATGCCCCCCTATTTATCGCACATCCTCTAGCTGCTTAATGTGGTCTGCTTCTTGCCGCTAAAGCGCAGGTACTCCTAGCGCGTTAGAGACTTAGCACGCCAACGCGTCTTCTATATTAACAAAGAAGGCTTCCTCCCTGCCTTTAAGGACGCGTTTTTTAACATGTTTATAGAGTAGAACTATTAAAAGGCTTTTAAGGCAGCAGGGCTAGTCCTAATTAACGCGCAGGTTGTATTAGATTGCCTTAAAGTGCGGCTGCGTACCCTGCTAGAACCCCATCCTCCTAGAGACGCCATAGCAGTTAAAGACTCTAAGCAATACCTATAAGTTTAGATCTTAATTAAAGCTTGTATGCAATTCCTTTACTTGCTTACCTATTATAGCTTAGGCTAGTTTCTCCTAGCTTATAAAAGGTGGTGAGCTAATGCTACATAAAAATGCGCTTTAACGTGCTCAGATCTATAAGCTTGAAGAGCAATTAGCAGAGATAACCAAGCGAAAATCGCGTAAGCGCAAGCAGATTTAGTAGGGTGGTACTATAGAGTATGGGACTGCTGCAGCGCAGGTAGCTGCTAAGGCATCTATAGCGCCTCAGCGATCCAAGAAGGCTTGTGGTGGTAGTGGTCAAGAACTAGCCTAACCAGCTCTTTAGCGCTATAGGAACTGCAGTAGGACTAGGCATAATGCGCAAATGTGCAAAAAGGATATAGAGGTGTCCTTAGAATTAGATGCTAGTACAACGTACGCAGGCTCCCTGTTTAATAGCAATGAAATTAAGGAGTTGTAGCATAGGTTGAGGCTGCTAAGAGATTTTAGGACACTTGGTGATGTGGGACACTCGGTGATAGTTTAGGTTAAGTAAATGAAGGGATTAGTGATCGCTAGGCACTCAAACAGCTATATACTAAAACATTAGAAAAAAAACAGTTGAACCGCGCCAAATGCAGCAAGAAATTTGCAAATAATGCTGAAGCTGACGGGCTTTCAACACTCGCAAAGGCTGAAGCATCTTTGTGTTGGCAACAAGAAGTAATTGATATCCCATGGCACCTACTGCCCTAACATGAATAGAGTAAAAAGTAATAGTTTTGCGGATTTGTTAGAAGTCTAAAATTTTTAAACCACAGTGGTAACGTAAATTATCACTGAGCTGGCCATATCACTAAACTAGCCATTTTCTCTTAGCACAACTAACACAAGTTACTATAACGTACTCTATCACCGAGCCAGTCATATCACTAAACTGGTCAAAATCTGCCAAGACTAACACAACTCCGCACTTCACAGTATGTCTTAACAACATCACAACCTATTGCTTCAACACAAAGGGAGACTGCAGCTTGCTCTCTAGGCCTACAATACTGGACAGTTTCAGAGCTATCAGGCTGCTGCTGCTGCATTCAATGTTAACCAACGCAGGCTCTCTAAACGCGCTAGCAATACTCTATTTCAACTCAACGTACGCGCAAACTGCTAGAAGCTTACTGCAACTAAAGAGCAGAAAATTGTCTAATATATCCTTAACCTTAATTTGCAAGGATTTGCGCCTCAGCTGTGTGAGGTGGCAGATATAGCTAATAAACTGTTAGGTGTGCGTAGTAGGGAGCCTGTTAGTAAACTCTAGGCTACTAGATTTGTAACGCGTTTAGATTAGCTTAAGATAGCGTTTAACTAAGCAAAGGACAGACAGAGGATACTGCAGGAAGATCCTAAGGTAATTAACACGTAGTTTATGCTAGTAGAGGGTACTAAGGCTAAGTATAGTATCTACAATAATAATATGCACAACTTTAATAAGACTAGGTTCTAGATAGGCGTAATAGGGTTAATAAAGGTTGTTACAGGCGCTGAGAGACGCGCTCAACCTAAGCTTGTTCAGCTAGGTGATTAGGAGTGGGTTACAGTTATACAGAGCATCTGCGCTGCTAGATATGCGACCCTACCTTTCATTATCTACAAAGGACGCATCCACATCTCTGCCTAGTACAAGGAGACAGATATACTACACAATTAGAAGCTCTCTGTCTCTAAGAACAGCTAGATAAACAACATGCTTAGCCTTAAGTAGTTAAAGCATTTTAACGCGCATACAAGAGCGCGTTAGGTAGAGGGATACAGGCTACTTATCTTAGACAGCTATAAGAGCTACCTTAACTAGGATTTTAAGGACTATTGCCTAGATAACAAGATCCTTACTCTCTGTATGCCAGCTCACTCATCACACATCCTCTAGCTGCTTGACGTGGTCTATTTCTCGCCATTAAAGCGCAAGTACTCCTAACGCGTCTAGGACTTAGCACGCTAATATGTCTTCTACATTAATAAGGAAGGCTTCCTTCTAGCCTTTAGAGACGCGTTTCTTAATGTGTTTACAAAGGCTAACTGTTAGAAGGCCTTTAAGGCATTAGGGCTAGTCCCTACTAACGCGCAGGTAGTGTTGGATTGCCTTAAGGTGCGACACTGTACCCTACTAGCACCCCCTCTACTAGAGACACTGTGGCAGTTAAGGACTCTAAGTAATACACACAAGTTTAGGTCTTAGTTAAAGCTTGTACATAACTCCTTTACTTAGTTACTAGTTATAGCCTAGGCTAGCTTCTCTTAGCTTATTAAAGGTAGTGAATTAATGCTGCACTAAAACACGCTGTAAGCTGCTCACATTACTAAGCTTAAAGAGTAATTAGTAGTTATAACTAGAAGAAAGTCACGCAAGCAAAAGCAAATTTAGCATAGCAGCACACTTAAGTATGGCCTAGTAGCATTATAGGTAGCTGCTAAGGTGTCTGTAGCAGCTTAGCTATTAAAGAAGACTTGTGGTGCAGGTACTTAAGAAAGGACCTAGTTAGCCTAACAGCGCTGTAGAAACTGTAGAGGCATAGGGCATAACGCTTAAACGTGTTAGAAAGATACAGAAGAAGATTCTAAATCTAATAAAAGCACGCAGTATGCTAGATTACTATTTAATAGTAAGTAATTCAAGTTGCTGCAACATAAGTTGGGCGCGCTAAGAGATTTTGACCAGTTTGGTGATATGACTGGCTCGGTGATAGAGTACGTTAACTATAACTACTTACTATTAAATAATAACCTAGTATACTATATACTTACATTAGATTTAGAAGATATTTCTATACCCTCCTAGCACGTTTATATGTAATATCTAGTCTTAATACAGTTCCTATAACGTACCCCACGGGCGAGTCGGACACACGGGCGAGTCGGACACTTTTGCCAAGACCCTACTAAACCTCACCCTATTATAGCCCAAAACACTACACTCTAGCGCTGCAAGGTGCAGTATAGCTTAGAATATTATTTAGAGACTACTTCTACATTATTCTTACATATTCGCGCATTATGCCTAGTCTAATTACACTATCTATAGTGTTGTTAGGAGGGCTTACCTACTTTAGCGCGCACCTACTTCTTTAACTTCTTTCTATTACTATGTGCCCTATACTCCTTTAGAGCTGCTATCTACTGCCCTTCCTTAACTGTAAGGGTCCCTTCCTTCTAGATTTGCTTTCTTTTGCGCAATTTACGTTCTGTGGCAGCTGCTAGAGCTGCGTGAAGCTCAGCGTTCTCCTGTTGCGCCAAAACTAGCTTGTGCAATAGAATCGCTCCCCCCTTTGCGTAGTGCTCAAGCGCGCTTAGCACAGAATTAGGTGAGCTACCCTGCTGCTTCTTATACTTCTCTTAAATTAGAGTTAATTGCAACTAAAGTTCTAGGGTATTGCTAGGGGTTTGTAACTGCTAGGGCTTATTATTATTAGGGAGTTATAGTGATAGAGTGCGCAGCTTTACATTAAGCCCTATTATAACCTGTTCTAGGTTAAAGGGGACTAGTCCAGCGCCTCAGAACCCTCCTTAGATGTTGCTTAAGGTAAATACAGCATTATAGGCTGCTTTAAAGCATAGCAGGAACTTAAGCTTTGTAATGTGGTTAACGTACCCCACGGGCGAGTCGGACACACGGGCGAGTTGGACACTTTTGCCAAGACCCTACTAAACCTCACCCTATTATGGCCTAAAACACCACACTCTGGCGCTGCAAGGTGCAGTACAGCTTAGAATATTATTTAGAGACTACTTCTGTATTATTCTTGCACATTCGCATGTTAAAGTGCTTTAACTACTTAAGGCTAAGCATGTTGTTTATCTAAATATTCTTAGAGACTAAGAGCTTCTAATTGTAGGGTATATCTGTCTCCTTATACTAGGCAGAGATGTGGACGCGTCCTTTGTAGATAATGAAAGGTGGGGTTGCATACCTAGCAGCGCAGATGCTCTGGATAACAGTAACCTACTTGCAATCACCTGGCTGAACAAGCTCTAGCTAAGCACGTCTCTCTAAGCCTGTTACAACCTTTAAAGATAAAGTAACACCTATCTAGAACCTAGTTTTATTAAAGTTGTGCACGTTGTTATTACAAATGCTATACTTAAGTTAAGTATCCTCTACTAGCTTAAACTACACGCTAATTATCTTAGGATCTTCCTATAGTATCCTCTATCTAGGCTGGCGGAATGGGTATACTCCAACGTCCTTCGTGGGTACCCCCCAAAACCTTATCAATAATACATGGATTCTAGCGAACTAGGGCTTAAAAGAAAGAGAAAAACTACCTCTACATTTCTGTAGTAGAGGGTTTTGTTATAACTATTAAACTGCACAAGCTAGAGGCTAGAAAACGTCAAAAAAGGGGGGGTACCTAGCAAGCATACCCATTAATAGGTATACTTTGCTAGGTAGTGTTAATAACTTAGCTAATACTAGGCGGAATTAGCTAATTCTTTTTTTATTAGAAGGCGCAATACTAGGCGCTTCTATCGAATAATAGATTATGTAAGCGTATCTCTGCTAGTTAAGAAGCTATAAGCCAAAACGTAAAAAAGCATACCCTACCCATCCGCCAGCCTACCTCTATCTATCCTTAGCTTAATTAAAGGCCATTTTGAGCTTGTCTAAACGCGTCATAAGCCTGCTAGCCTATAGTTTGCCAATAGGCTCTTCACCACGCACACTAAGTATCTTATTAGCTATATTTGCCACTTCACATAGCTAGGGCGCAAATCCTCGCGAATTAAGGTTAAGTATATACTAGACAATTGTCTGCTCCTCTAGTATAGTAAGTTTCTAGCAATTAGCGTGTATATCTAGTTAAAATGTAATATTGCAAAGGCAATTTAAGACCTGCTAATAAGGTACGTTTAATGCTCTAGCAGCGCTGTAGATACTGCAAAATTAGCTAGCATAGAAGGCCTAGATAGCAAGGATAACTCTGCCTTCTCTAGTAGTATTCTGAAGTTGTTGTTGTTAAGGCATGTTGTGTTAGGGTAAAAGGTGGTCGTGCTAAGAGAAAGTGGCTGGTTCGGTGATATGGCCAGCTCGGTGATAATCTACGGTAAGGCACGTTTAACGCTCTAGCCGCGCTGTAGATACTGCGAAATTAGCTAGCATAGAAGGCCTAGATAGCAAGGATGACTCTGCCTTCTCTAGTAGTATTCTAAAGTTATTATTATTAAGGCATGTTATGTTAGGGTAAAAGGTGGTTATGGTAAGAGAAAGTGGCCAGTTTAGTGATATGGCTGGCTTGGTGATAATCTACGTTAAATATTCTAGAGCTAGATATATAGCTTTGAAATGGTGGATTTTTGGCTATTTTACTAGTAAATCGCGCCCATCACGCGCACGGACACGGTAAGTCTGCCCGAAAGTCAATGTACTACAGCAATTCCCGATGTGACATGTGCCTGAGAAGTAGCGTGGCAACATGCACTAACCTAGGCCACGCCTGAGTCCAAACAAAAGTTGAAGGCGAGAAGTACCACGTCCCTCAGTCGAGATTACCCAAAGTCGTTGATATGCACATGTGCGTATCCGTATCGCTGCTGCTCGACTGCCCGAGTCTGCAATGGCGGAATCCGAAACATGGCAGTCTAGTTCCGCTCTCGCACTCAAAAGCTGTGACACTAGTACTCGCAAGCACTGAATACGCTGTTCGAAAATCCTCCACGCACATATCGAGAAACTTACTGGAACAAATCTAGTGTGGTTTCCGCGTTCATCGTCCCAAAGTAGGGCGACATGCAAACACATGGAAAGGGGCCATTGAGGTCGCGGCGCTAATTGTTTCAAACGTATGATCGACTCCAGGGTACCTCTCCTCGATTCATTTACACCACCCATATCGCATCTCTAGGTCATCGTTACATCAAGTTCAGCTTTAAATGCAACACTTGGTAGCGGGGTCGCGATCGGCACGTGTTCTGGCAAAGTGCTCTCATGCTGATTTAGGAAGCTGGCTGAAGTTTGAGGCTGTCAAGATCGCCGTACACGACACAAAATCTCCGCTCCGCACAACCAAGACAGTCAATTCTCCGTTGCCAAGCACTCTTGGCATCTTCTAAGACTCGCTACATTTGTTTCCAAACAGTACCAAGGAAAGAGTAGAATGAGCCAAGGAGCACCGTATGTCATCACTCGATCCTATGCGAGGCGGCACACCGATGAGAGGATCTATAAAGTAGTAAGTAAGATTCAAATTCGAAAATGCAACTCCAACCTTCGCCTTTCATTCGATTTTCCTGTCGACTCTTTCCATTCCCTTTTTGACTCTCGGTGCCGGCACCTTTCATTCTTTCAAGGACCATATCACCAAACACAGTTCATTCATCCGTCAATATGAAGTCAGGATTCGCTATCTCAACACTCGTTGCCACCGCCCTCGCCGGCGCCATCCCCGGTGATGTGCACACGCATATCCACCGCCGCACCGCGGCTCCAGTCTGCGCCTTCGACGAAAAGACTTTCGCTTTTGACGATACCAACGCTTGGGGCACAACGCTGAGGAAGCGCGATTCGAACCAAACGACATGGAACCCGCCTTCGGACATCAAGACCGCGCTTGAGCAAGTCTGGAAGCACGAGCTTGAGACCTACTCTGACGCGCTTGGCTTCATGAACTACGGCTACGACCAAGTCATGGCTGGCAAGGGCAAGATCGGCTACTGCGTGCGCTGGGAGGGCGACGCAACCGTCACGGCCGCGCAACGCACCGACATCGAGAACGCGCTCAAGAAGCAGTACAACAAGTTTATCAGCGTGCTTGCCGGATTCGAAGATTTCCCATACAGCACCGTCGACGTGAATGTCGTTGGCTGGGCGGTCAAGAACAAGAGCCAGCTCCAGGGCGATGTCAGCGGTATTGAGATCTACACCGATGTCGATGCCGATGGCATCCCGCAGTGCGCTGAGTCCTGCGGTCGCTTCTTCCACCAGGATGGCAACTATGCTGGTTGCGAGGCTGGTGCGGACCGCCACTACGACAACTCGCTTTGGCTTACTCCTGGCTTTGGCGGTGGTGCGGGTGGTGACTGGGGCCAGCGTCTTGCGCAGGAGTACTTTCTGGAGAATGTAAATGCTGAGAACATTCACATCTACCTCCACGAGGTTGGCCACACCTATGCGCTTGATGACTTCTATGACTGGACTCCCTCCGGTGTTACCAACTTCCTCATGCTGGCTGGCAGCGCGACTCAGATCACGGAGTTCGATGCGTGGATGGCGAGGGATTGGTGGAGGAACCTCAAGTCGCGTTACAGCTTGTGAGCTGCCTCGTTGAATAGAGAAGCTGCATCGAGGAAACGTCGGAAGTTGTGAGCGTCGACGCGAGGTATTGATGCTGCTGATGCTCCTTCGGTGTCATGTGGCGCTTTCTTGTTGATAAACATACCTTATTTGAACATATTGAACATTCGAAGATGATCGAAATGCGTTTCGGTGTAGGTGTTTTTGACCTGCTGGATGTTACAGAAGTCATGAAAGCGTGAGCTAGACCGCGCAGCAGCTTGAAGTCATGTGAACATATATGGACCGTAACTAGTGTCCTATTAAATGCCCATGGTGTCAGATTTTGAGGATTCAGCGAAAGCTGTTGATCATCACGCTCTTTCGGAGGGGGGTGAACGAAAAGGCGGGTTATTATTGTTTGCAAAATGATGGGTACACCCCGTGACCTGGTCAGACATGTCTCCACAATAGCAACGAAGGCTTAACACGCTATGCAACCTAGCAGTCTAGTGCAACTAGGAGACCTTAGTATTAAGCAATATAAGGAGGCCCTATATAAGGCAGGGTAGACAGGTGGCACGTAGTGCAGCTGTTTACAGGCTGATGCGGGAGACAATAGATAGCGTCTTGGCAAACAGACGCAGACAGTATCAAATATACGCTGTCACAGACTTTGGCTCCCATATGTCAGCATCCCCGCTGTTCCTCGTCCCATTTGTCAGCTCCTCGGATGTCCAATCTCGTACATCAGTCAAGCTCCACTCCATTATTCGACTCGAGATGCCGTTATTCGGTCTAATGCGCGACATCTCCGGCAGGGTTGATATTACCCGTCCTAGTCCAAGTCAAGAGTCTCATCACAGCTTTGAAAAGCATGTCTTTGATCATGCGCTAATGCTTGACGCGGACCGTTGCGGCTGTCGACCCTGGTGTCGGAGCTTTGGAAACCATCGGGGCATCTCGTAGGGCGCATGTCGCTGGCTTTGACATGTACCTACTTGTTAGAGTAAGCCTCTCTGGCGCACGCTCGCCTCTGCCGGCGATCTCTACGTTTTAGACGCGTGTACACAGTACTTTTTGTGGCGTACGCGCCCAAAACATGGGGGCCAGCACACACCAGACGGCGTTCAGAACTATTGCCGGCCGACTGAAAATGACGCGTCGGCTGAGTACGCTACGCCGAGCAATCGCCCCTGGCGTTCTCGGTCACGCACCCAAGCTTCACCGAAAAGCTTGGTTTGCGAAAGGCGTTCGCGACTGCGACAACGTTAGACAACGCTTTCAGGCAGTCAAACTTGCATTTTCGCGAGCAATTGGCCTTAAATTCTCTACTGGTCAATCAAAATGGAAAGAGTAGCCACTGTGCCAGCGGTGAAGTGCCGAAAGACATTGCCTGTCTGCTGCGACCCACCCAGGAGTTCGCCTGTGAAGCAATGTGGACTCAACAAAAAAGCATGAGTATCTAGCCCAGAGACCACTACTGTACGTGCTTCCGTTATCTTTGTCTGTGGTTGGCGAGATTGTAAAGGCTAGCAATGCCATCGTGACGAAAGCCCACAATTATTCTTGCCCCGAATTGAGCAACCCCATGGGCCGCGCTATCACTGTCTGGAGGGACTCCACTTGGAGACTCCACGGCTACTCTGTGCCCCTGTGGGCTCCAGAAAATTGGTACAAGAGGGCGGCAGCGCTGCCGGTGATCTTCATCGAACCACCGTCTCCTGACATTCGCACTCTGTGCCAGGCACTGGACGATCATGGCCACCGCAACTGAACATGCCTCGAACGACAAAGAGTTCGTCCCTGATGTTCCTCGTTACAAAGAGGATCTGGAGCACGCCAACACGCACGGAACCTACCTCGACCCCGTCGAGGCCTCGCATCTCTCAGAGGAACATCGCCAGTATCTGCTGCAAAGACATGGCACGCTCGAGCTTGACCCCATGCCCACTATGGGAGATGCAGATCCGTATAACTGGCCGACATGGAAGGTATTGAACACATCCACCGGTTGTTTCCGCATACTCACCAATCCACAGAAAGTCTTGAATCTCGTCTTCGTAGCATTTCATGCTTGCATGTGTGGCTTTGCAGCCTCCGCCATCATTCCAGCATACGAGAACATTGCGGAAGATCTCGGTGTCAGTTTGCAAAGGACCTCGTATCTGACTTCATTGCAAATCGCCATTCTTGGAGGTGCGCCCTTGTTTTGGAGGCCCCTTTCAACACGCTTCGGTCGCAGACCAATCTTTATTATCTCCTTGATTGGCAGTTTGGTGTTCAACATTGGTTGCGCAAAGAGTCAGACTTACGGAGCCATGGCCGCCTGCCGTGCGCTTCAGGCTTTCTTCATCTCGCCCCCGAACGCTATTGGCAGTGCTGTCGTGGTCGAGACTTTTTTCAAGAAGGAGAGGGCGAGGTACATGGGAGTATGGACTGTTATGATTACGCTCGGCATACCGCTAGCACCGCTCATCTTTGGCTTCGTCACATACTACGAAGGCTACAGATGGATTTACTGGATCCTAGCAATCGTGAGCAGCTTCTGTGTCACGTTGAAGGCTTCTTCACTAACGGTATCTCGTAGATCAACGGTGTACAAGTGGTTCTGTACGCTCTCTTCGGTCCCGAGACACGCTTCATCCGTCACGACAACGCTCAACATGCTGTGTCTGGATTTGCAGCCTTCAAGGAGTCATACCTTAAGTTCCGCCGCATCGATCCTACGCCCATCACAGCTATGGAGTTTATCTCGCCTCTGCGACTGGCCAAATACCCGTGCGTCATGATTCCGGCATGCGCATACGCAATGGTCTTCCTCTTCGCCTCCGTCCTCATCACTGTTGAGATTCCTCAGCTCTTCGGCGAGAAATTCCACTTCAACTCTAAGCAGCTGGGTCTTCAGTTCCTTGGCATCATCATCGGTTCCATTATCGGCGAGCAAATCGGTGGTCACTCAAGTGACATGTGGATGCGCGCCCGTGCGAAGAAGACTGCGCCCGCGAAGCCCGAGCCTGAGTTCAGGCTGTGGTTGAGCTATTCCGGGATCTTGCTGACTATCTGCGGTCTTGTAGTCTTCCTCGTTCGGATCGAACAGGCACAGGAGGGTCACTGGAATGTCACACCCATCATTGGTGCCGGAATCGCTGCGACAGGCAATCAGATCGTCACGACTGTGCTGATCACGTACGCCATTGACTGCTATCCAGATGAAGCAGGAAGTATCGGTGTTTTCATCACCTTGGTCAGGCAGACTTGGGGTTTCATTGGACCTTTTTGGTTCCCTGACATGTTCACCAATGTGGGACTGGCTCCCAGTGCAGGTATTGTGGTCGCTTTGTTGGTGGTAGGCTCTCTGATCCCTCTCGTATTCTGCCACTGGAAGGGAAATTCGCTCCACGGCAACATGAGCAACAGATTGTAGAGCTTGTGCAGTGACTGACTCATGCAGCTGGCCCTGCTTGTGAGTCGTCTGCAAGGCAGCGGCTAATATCATTTCCAGAGCAATTTCACGATGATGTAGTTCACACGTGTTCATTGCGCTTCATAATTTGCTAAACGTGATAATTACAAGTGCAAACTCAGCTATCAACTGCTCAGAGCTTCGCCACCAGGCCTTCCTCTTGACAAAGCTCCTCGGCCTGCTTGACAACATTAGTACCGTAGACCTTGGCCTGGACATCTGCGTCTGCCCACTTATCAGGAACCTTGCCACCTCCGAGCTTGAGCGCCGCAAATTGTTTATCACGCTCCTCTTTGGCCTTGCCGGCGCCGAGATGCATGTTCCGCCCACTCTCTGCGGCGAGCTCAACGAGCGCCTCCGCCCTAGGCTTTCTCAGTCTCTCATACAACTTGAGTGCCTTATTGATGATCTCTGGGCTAGCGTCACCTAGCCTTGAGGGTGCAAGGACGACACCAAGTACAGCGCCATCTTCAATCGCTTGCGCGGCGCCCTGCGCCATGTGTGGTAGGGTTGGATGACACGCATCGCCGACCAGCGCCATGCTGCCACTGACCCACGTGGGCAGCGGGTCGTGAACCCTTAGCTTCCACTCTACGACCTCGCCCTCCGGCACCAGGTTCAACATATCCTGAATCATTGGACAGAAGTCCTTGTACAAATCCAACATCGCGCTCTTGCTCCCCTTAGTTGTGTACTGCGCGTCCGGAGCACCCGCAAAGTTGGCGTCCGGCTGCGCAGTCGACAGGTTGTAGATCTGCTTATTGTGAATGCTGTACGCAATGATGTGCTTTTTCTCGCCGATCCAACGTGTAACGGTATCGCTATCGATCAGCTTGAGCAGCTCAGGGTATGGCGACATTTGCTCGCGAGTGAGCATAATGCGGTACGCCGCCTGGCCCGAGTCCCTGACCGTCGCCGTCTCGCCGAGTTCTTTCAGCATGGCAACGCGGGTGTTGCTCTTGACACCATCGGCACCAATGAGGACGTCGCATTCGACGCTCCCTTTCTCGCCGGTCTTGTTGTTTGTCACTTCAAAGCTGGGCTTTGCCCCAAAGCGGGCGTTTGTGATGGTGTTGCCGAACTTGAATGTGATTCCGTTCTCCTTCTGACATCCTTCATACAGGCCGCCTGCGAGTGATGCGCGATGGCCGACCATGTGTGGGTATCCGTAATTCTCCTTGACATAGCCCAGGTCGACATAACCAAGCTCCTCGTTTGAAGAACCTTGACGAATGGATGTGTTTGCGCATTGAACTGCTTCGGCTTCGATCTGCTTCCAGACGCCCAGCTTATCAAGGATAGTGGCCATGTTAGGCGCAAGCTGGATGCCTGCGCCTACGAAGCCGAGGTTTGCGGCATGCTCGTAGACTGTGATGTTTTTGTGGCCGGATTTTGCAAGAGACAGTGCTGTGGCAAGGCCACCCATGCCTGCGCCGATGATGGCTATCCTCAAGTTGTCTGCCATTTTGCGTTCCAACTCTATTGAGCTGATGTTGTTGTTGAGGTTCGAAGCTTTGTTTGAAGCTCTGCGGGGAAGTTCGAGCGCAATGCCGGTTGGTGCGATGCAAGATGTCGACGACTTTAAAACCACAAAAACCCGGCTTCTCAATAGCACCTTTATGTTCGCAATGGCTTCGTAGACATCCACATCCACAATTCCTCCAGTTCTCGTGAAGCTCTTTTCCCCGGGGTTCATTCTACCACCGAATTCCGGATGAACGCTTAGCCGCCTCTAAGCCACGTCCGTGTACGTCAGCAACTTCTAATTGGACAACATCAATGGGCATAAACGTGACCTCGGAAACCGAGCACCGCACCCGGAACTTTTGAACGGCTCGTGTTTGAGCGCATCAATAGAGTAGTAACAGAGGTTGCCTGTTCTTTCTGAACCCACCGAAGGCCCGACCCAGATGTTAGCGTAGGTGGCTTATTCTTGCCACTCGGGTAATTACCGGCTGTGCGCCCTGCCGTTCCTGCATCGCAGCCTACCCACTCATCATCAACTTTTGTATCTCGCTGCTATTTCCCTTGGCGTTGTCACTGCTGTTAGCTTGGACACAACCCTGTAGACACTGTAGACAGATATGTGTATGCATAGACTCATCAATATGAGCGAGTAGAGTCAGTAGACGCTCGAGTTCAACACCGGCGCCCATGGCGAGAGTCAAGCTTCGTACAACGCCTTTTCTGTACATTATGTCGGAAAAAGATGAACTTGCTCCACGGGACTGGACCAGCAAGCTTAATGCCGCAAACCCGAGCCGCAAATAATTAGTGGAATGCCCGCCCCGGCGGGCTACTTGCTCAAGATAACCGTGAACTTGTCGATCGTCCGCTTTGGTGAGGTTAGCTGCATCAAGGATCATTTAGGCCTCACGATGTTAAAAGGTGGCAGAAATAATATTTTGTAGATCAGTTAAGCCGACTTTTCCACCTCCTTCCTCTTTGTCGTTGTGATCGCAGTCGTCTTTGAATCGGCAAGATGAGACAATCGTTGATTAGCAGCGCTGCGCTCATTGGAGCTGCACAAGCGCTCAACTACACTTGCACACCGAGCGCGATCCAAGCTGTCCTGCCGAAAGGTGCCAATGTCAACTTCGCGCATCCTGTCGCAACAAATGGCACTTTTGAGACACCAAATGGCGACACAGGATACCCGAATAGCCCACCTAATCTGCCTGCTTTATGTGCTGCATCCATCCAGGTCAAGTCAGTTGACAACACTACTTTTGGCTTTGGCATCTTCCTCCCTGAAGAGTGGAATGGCAGATTCTTAGCTGTTGGCAATGGCGGCTTTGCTGGTGGCATCAACTACCTCGATATGGTGAGTCGCGCAAAGTCTGTGACGGAATAAAGCTGATGCGAACACAGGCTGCTGGAGTCCGTTATGGATTTGCCGCGATCTCAACTGATACTGGTCACAATTCGACTAACAGTAATGGCACCTGGGCCTATAATCAGCCGGGCAACGTTGAAAACTGGGGCCACCTTGCTATGCACGGCTCCGTGGTCGTCGGAAAAGAGATCACAGCCGCGTACTACGAGCAGAACGTCACATACAGCTACTACTCTGGATGCTCTACTGGTGGTCGTCAAGGTCTGAAAGAAGCAGAATACTACCCCGAGGACTTCGACGGAATTGTAGCGGGCGCCCCTGCGTGGTGGACCAGTCATCTTCAGCCATGGACATTACGCATTGCGCTTTACAATCTTCCTACCACTGCTGATTATCACATTCCCGCGGCGTTGTTCTCGACCTTGAACGCAGAGGTTATCAAGCAGTGCGATCCTCAAGATGGAGTCGTCGACAACATCATCTCGGACCCTCAGGGCTGCAACTTCCAGCCTACAACTCTGCTCTGCGGCTCAAGCAGCACCGCCAACGCCTCTTCTTGTCTCACAGGACCCCAGCTTGACACTGTTTATAATATCTTCAGCGACTATGTTGGCGAGAACAACACATTCATCTTCCCATCCTTCTACCTTGGTAGCGAGGGTCAGCCCATCTTCTTCTCTGGCAATGCGCCCAACGCGCTCGGCACCGGATACGTCCAGTACTTCCTTGGTAAAGGGCCTCAGTGGAACTTCACAGACTACAATGACGACATTGTCGCTCTGTCTGATGCGATCAACCCCGGAAATGCAACTGTAGGTTTCGATCTGTCTCGTTTCCATGCCAAGGGCGGCAAAATTATGTCATACCATGGCATGGCTGATCCACTCATCCCGACCGGCTCGACTCCATATTTCTACGACCACGTTACTCGAACCTTGAAGCCGCAGGGCATCAATGTTGACGAGTTTTTCAAGTACTTCCTCGTTCCTGGCATGGGCCACTGCTCTGGTACCCAGACTAGCATGAATGCGCCGTGGTATTTCGCTGGTGGTAACCAGCAAGTTGCTCTCGCCAACGATATCTACAGCGTTCCTGGATTTGAGGACGAAGAGCACGATGTGCTGAAGGCCATGATGGCTTGGGTCGAGGAGGGCAGAGTACCTGAGTACATCATTGCCACTAAGTATATCAATGATACCACTCACGATAAGGTGCTGCGACAGAGGCCTCTCTGCATCTACCCCAAGCAAGCTAAGTACACCGGCGAGGGTGATGTGGACGATGCTGCGAAATGGGAGTGCAAGGCCCTGTACTAAAGTCTGTAATCTTATGGTAACAATCGAGGCAACGTACGATCGTATTTGTCAACTTACACGATAGTCTGCATTTGATATGCTGTTGGTCTCTGGTACCTCTGAATATTGATGATGTCCTAGACTCTGCTCATGTGCAGTCGACCATCGTACAACGATCGCTAGTCCATATATCGATGAGCTCATTTGACTTCTGTATCGTGTATATCGTCCACTGATGATTGTACGAAGTTACCAGGATACTCGTTGTACGGAAGTACTTCTGCGGCCGCGAGCCAGCCGAAGTCGATTCCGCGGGGTCCAGATTGCCCCGCGCTAGCAAATGAGGCTGCATGTGGGGTAGCTTAAGACGCGTCGCCAGCCATCACTCTTGTGCTGAAGGAAGGTCGAATCGCGTAACAATTTCCAGGGAAGAAGTTGCTAGTACACACCTCTGCAATTGAACAACAAGCGGGACTGCACTACGGAATATCGCCATTACACAAGTGGAAAAGCTTTTACCCGGACGCGCGTGCACGCAACGCGATCTACTTCGAGCATCGAGGTCATCACGATCAGGATACCCGGAATCAAATTCGACACCGTATCAGTTTTCCTTGTACCTAAAGGAATGACCTGATCTGTGCATTGCGGCTATCCAATAAAGTAGCAATTGCGCTTCGAAGAACAAACTCCGACGAGAACAACCATTTGGGCACCTCGACTACCACCATTCACATCCAGGAAATGGCGAGAAAGAACTCCTTCGAGGAAGCCTCAGTTGCTTTCAGACAGCACCTGCATGACCTGAGCACGCCTCGTTTTACAACCGCTGCAAAGCAAACCCCTTACGAATATGTAAAGGACATGCAAGACCATCGCCAACCGCCTTGGCTGTATGATCTTACCAAAACCTGGGAAAAGTTGCTAGCTGAGCCGTACAAGGGTGTGACTAATGATGGCAAAGTGAGAGATGGGCTTTTCGAAGCTAAAGACGAGGACTTTGACACAGAGAGTGTAGTCAAGAAGGTAGATGGGCTATTTGGCGAGTTGAATGAGGAGCAGAAGAAGAAGATGTCGTATCCCATCAACGCGCGGGAATGGAGAGCCTGGAGTAACCCCGAATTCCTGCTACGGCCTTTTGGCATTCGACTCGAGGAGGGTGAGTCCATGTTTTCGACAGGGTTCCACTACTCGCATACTGATTTAGAGCAGTCCCCGAGTCCATCGCACAGTCCGTACTGAAGGTGGTCGAAGCATCACTCTCGCCTGAGGGCTACGTCAAGGCCCTTTCTGCCATGCGCATCAACCACTTCCTCGGGGAGGTTGTCAAACTCCCAAACATCATGAACAAGTACTCATACAACTTCCTCATCTTTGGCACACCTTCGTCATCGCCGAGCTCGCCATGGGGCTGGCTACTCTATGGCCATCACCTGGATATTTCATGCTTCTTCAAAGGAAACCAGATTATACTCAGTCCCTCATTCACCGGCGCAGAACCAAACGTCATCGATGATGGGCAATGGAAGGGTACCGCAATTCTTCACAAGGAGGGTAACATTGGCCTGAAGCTGATGCAGAGTCTGAGGCCCGAACAGCAAAGCACTGCTCAGGTTTTCAAAAGCCTCCGTGACCCCGGCATGAAGCAAGTGTATGCTAACTCTAACAACGACGAATCGCAGCGCGACGAACTCATCACTGATACCTGGGGTCCTGATGATCAGCGCCATCACTGCGGTGCGTTCCGCGATAACCGTATTGTGCCCTACGAGGGCGTGGTCGCCTCTGACCTTACATCCTCGCAACAGCAGCTCATACTGGACATCTGCAACGAGTTCCTTCTCTACCATCCCACGAAGTCGCGGCAGCTGAAGCTCGAGCAAGTCAAAAGGTACTTCGCCGAGACATACTTCTGCTGGATTGGCGGCTATGGCGATGATGATGCATACTACTTCCGCATTCAAAGCCCGGTGATCTTGGTCGAGTTTGATCACCACTCCGGCGTCTTCTTAGCGAACAAAGAACCTGCAAAGTTCCATACGCACACCATTCTGAGGACGCCAAATGCAGGTGATTATGGGCAGGCCATCAGAGAGGGAGGTGAAAAGCTACAGTGATTGTCGGATGTCAAAGCGTTGTTCTAGCTAGACCTGCAAATAGATCTGATACCTCGCTACCTTCTTTGGAGTGCTCTCTCAAAGCTCAAAGACATCGAAGTCCGAAATTGGCGCCCCACTTTGCCGCACTCCCCCGCCAGGCACATATACTCTCTTTCCCACGCCCATAGCATAAGTCCCATGTCTTGGAGTCCTCATAGTTCCCACATTCTCCCATCTATCCTTTCTTGTATCATATACCTCGATTTGGTGAAAGATTCCACTCTCTGCCTCGGTGTTACCCTCACCCCCGAAAATGTGTACCTTCTGACCCACAATACCCGCCGCAACGCCATCCCTCGGGGTCGGCATCCTCACTTCACTAACCTTCCATCCTGCCTCAAAATCGCACAGATCTAGGACGAATACAGTGCCCTGTACATTCTCCTGTCCCCTCTCGCGACCGTCAAGGACATACATCTTGTCCTCCACAACCGCAGCACCCGCACGATCCCTCGCCTCGGGCAAATACTTGGATATGTCCGAAACATCCTTCCACCTCCTACTCGTCATATCAAACATGCTGACCACCGCCACAATGTTCTGACTCCTGTTCCCCGAAAGCTCGAGATCCGTCATCCCACCCGCCAAAATGATCTTCCAGCCGTAGATACCGACCGCCGCACTCCCTCTTTCTTCTCCTGCAGGAAAACCAGATATCTTTTCCCAAGTTCCAGTGCAAGATGAGTACACGAACGCATCAGGCACTGCGCGCTAGGCTGGCTCGGACTCGCCCAAATCTGCAAGACCGCCGAGGGCATAGATCTTTCCGTTGATAACGGCGGCGTTGATGTGGTTCATTGCGCGCAGTAACGGTGCGACGGTGGTCCATGTGTTGTTCGAGATGGAGTAGAACTACACAAGGGACGTTTTGGTGATGCTGGTATCGTTTGTCGGAATGATACCGCCGAGGACAGCGATGGTTCTGGGTGGGAGGAACACAGTTGTGTGTTCTTGAAGTGGGAGGGGGAGGGGGCGAGCGGCGTACATACCGGTTCATGAGCGGGATATTCTGAGAGTAAGGGTCGTGAAGTAGGAAAGGACCAGGCCCAAGAAAGTCCTGATTGTATGTCTGCGTCATGCTGTAGGTGAGGTGCGTTGAGTGCTGGATTGAAGGGGCCGTTGAATATGCACGGTAAATATTAAGCGTTTGAAGAATACCTGTAAACTTTGCGCTCGCTTTAGGCACCTGCAATATTTCGTCCGCTCATTAGTCCGGTATGTTATTGTTAGAACCGAACTTTTTGGTTGTTAGCCATCATGGCCTTGAGTTACTACGTTCCAAGCATTGTTTTGTCAGCCCACAACGAGACTCGCCGTCTCCAAGGTCTTGTGTGCAGATGTGCTGCATGTCAGACTCGGCTGTGATCCGGAGAAGCTTTGCAAGTCCGGGGTAAACATACAGACTTGCGCATTCACACCATTTTACCTCGTCCGCCGACTCAGTCTCAATTCTTCACATCGTATCATTGTTCGTCCGGGACTACAGCTCATGATCATTGCCCATCTCGTTGAATAATGCTTTTTGAGTAGTGCCCTACTGCTTTCCAAAAGTCCTCTTCAGCCAAGGTGCAATCCTCTTGATCGCCTCATTCAGCGCCTCGTACGGCAGTCAATGCGCTGCATCGACCATGTCCGCTTCCTCAAGCTGCTGCAAAAGCTGCTTCTTGTACGAAGCCATGATTTCCGATCGACAGACAGGATCATCCTTTGTCCCGATATACAGTGCCGGCACCTTAACCACCATTCTATCCCAGGGCAACTCTTTATCACTCGTACTCTGATAGTTCATCACTACAGCGCGGCACCAGCACTGTGGTCCTTCGAGCCCATCTCTAGTCATGCGATCGATGAAAGTCTTCTTAAATTGCGGGTCTTGGGCGTACTTGCGCAGACTATGCTCGTTAATGAGGTAGTCTTTCATTGCGCCAGGGACTGTTCCTAGATCGGCCATGATATGGTGCTCCACATGCTGGGCGCGGAAAGTGCGTTCAAGGTTGTCGTAGAGTAGCTTGTGGCCGTGCTCGTCGGCGCAGACTTGCCAGTAGGAAAACAATGCTGCGCCCACGTGCTCCTTGGTCATGGTGTTGAGCTTTTCTAGGTCGAAGTGATCGCCGGTGGGCAGCATGTATGGCACGTTCAGGTTGATGAGACCGACTACTCTGTCGGGGTAGTGGTTGTAGAGGCGAGAGGCGGCGCTGGTGGAGCTCCACCTACTAGACGAGGTGGTGTGTTGATTAACGGTCTTCGCACCAGGTCAGCGCATCACCACAAGAGCGGTTCCCCAACTTCGAGCACCAGCCAGCTAAAATCCGTCCGATTTACCTGATTCCAGGTTCTGATAATCAAATAAGTCGTCTGAAGTAGACAGGCCCTAAAGCGCAGGATCGGCCTATAGAAGGTGTACGGCCGTACGACGATGTACGACTAGATGGACAGGTCGACAATACCCGTGACCTTGGATGGCTATTTGATCATATGTAAGACAGGAGGTGAAAAACCTTTCTTTTAGGCGTTTAATCCAGACTCATCTTCTCTACACGTCAGCAAAGTAACATAACCATTGCCGTATATGTGTATCGAGTTAAGTAGGGAGGAAATGATGTCTTTGTCCAAGGGCTCGGCGATTGCGGTGTTGTATCAACACCGGTGTGCAACACGACTACAGCTGAATCATAACAGCAGGGCGCGACTCGAACCGAAAGAGAGATAGATGACAGCATCAACGGCCGTAAAGGCGATTGGAGAACTCGCTTCGATGTGCGACGCCGTACGCGCTACAGCTTGACTAGCAGCTTCTCCTTCTCCTGTATTTTCCCCGCATACTCATCCTTCACTCCAGGACTCGAACCCCCTTTCCTAGCCGATCCATCGTCCCACTTCGGCAGCTCAAAGGCTTCCGAGCCCTCCGCTGCGCTGTCCCAGTAGCTCTCAACATATTGAAGTTGTCGCGGCAGACGTAGCCGCTGTATGTATCGATGGGAAACTGCGCTGAGTTGCTTGCTAGCTAGGAGGCGACCATATATACATTCCCTGAGACGTGCTAGTACAACGTAGTCAACAGAGGTGACGACCAAGGCCTATAGGACCGACTTGCACCGCAATAGAAGTACTCCTCAAAATCAAGGCCCGGCGCAATAGTATGGATTGCATGACGTCTATACGTCAACACTCACACTCGTCTTACTCTGAGCCTTCTCAATAAGTGCTGACACCTCTGCCTGGCGTTGTTTGAGTTGTTTGGTGACGTATAACGACATTGTTGTTTGGGAATTGGGCAGGGCTTGAAGTAGACTTCGTCGATTCTAGGCCAACAAGCCACGGGTGGCCTTTGACGTCGCTGTGGCGAACGATATATCGTGTACGATAGCCCGATCAATAAGTGCTGATTGCAGCTTATCCTCCTCCCAAGGGGTGTGTGAAACGAGGTCCGATGAGCCAGCAACGCGTGCGGCGTCCCATGGGCTCTTGGGGATAGACAGATTATCAGGCATCAAGTCTGTTTTGGGATCGACTCGGTGCTTACTTATCAAGTGTTGGGTGATATGAGCTGTGCCGTTGATGCGGAAGGCGTTAGGGGTAGCCGCAGACTCATGGCAGGCCTGGCAAAGCTAGAACTTACTGGCGTTTCCAGCGTAGTCTTCGTACTGTAGTTCGACTCCGTACTGCCAATGAGCATGTGGCGTACCTGATACCCCAGCCGACTAGCGTTGAGCCGTGTACGCAAGAGGCATTCTAGGAGGTGCGAACGGTCCAAGGTGTCACAGGCGGCCGTTGAAGGCACGATGTCGGCGGCTTTCTGTGTTCGGCGAAGTTCGCCCGATCTGGAAGGTCTGCATACCTACGCCGTTTGCTTGCCGAGGCCAGTTCCGTGTCGATAGGCAGTCACGTACCTTCCAAACTTGGCGCATGGGGGACCGTCAGTTTCATTTGGACTCAGTTGCGACCTCGTTGTCGTAAAAAACTCGATTCTCTGGCCGAACGATGGAAGAAAGCGGGGATTTGCGCGATATGGGTGAGCGAATGAGCACATAACATTGCGTCTGCTTTAGCCGGTAGGTTGCTCAGAGCTTCCTACTTGAAGCATAGTGGTCTGCTCTAGCCTCTGGATTGGTTCAAGTTTTGTACTTAACGCGAAGTCAAGACACGTGGAATGGCTGCTGTTCGCTGAGCAGATCCCCACAGGGAGCAAGATAACCGAGTTATCGTGGTGGATAGTGAGGAGTGACGGCTGGCGAAGTGAAGCTACGAGAAATATAATGTCCCCCTTGGTGCCCTTGCTTCCCGCTCGTTTAGCAATTGGCCTTCCGTGGGAAGGGTAAACGTGTCAAACTTGAATTGACAAACGAGCGCAGTGTTCAAAAGGTCGACCGGAGCCAGCATGGAAGCAGTCAGCCTTTGATAACAACAACAACAACAACATGAAGACCGGAGTTTTTGCCAGCGTTCTGGGCAGTATTGGTGCTGCAGCGCACGCATTCCACGTTGATGATGCTTCGTGTGGCGTAACGTATCGTGGCATCGAGCGTGATGGACTCCAGCACTTTTATGGCATTCGATACGGGCAAGATACCAGTGGAGAGAATAGGTTCAAGCCGCCTCGTCTGTACGTGCCAACGCCAGGATCAGTCGTCGATGCCACAAAGCCTGGGATTGCTTGTCCGCAACCGCTCGGTAACGCGTCTCCGCCTTTAAGCGAAGGCAATGTGACAGAGGTATCAGAGGACTGCTTGAATCTGAACATCATCAGGCCAAAGCTAAATGCAACACGTTCGCACGGAAAGCTGCCAGTCATGGTGTGGATCCACGGGGGTAAAGCTAAAGCACTTCTGACCATCGGCCTTGCTGACAGATTAACAGGAAGTTTCTGGTGGGGGTCAAACATGGAGCCAACCTTTAAGCCTGATGGATTGATTCGACAGTCGGTGGAGGGGGGCCATCCTGTCATACACGTCGCAATGAACTATCGCCTGGGGTTCTTTGGGTTTACCCAGTCAGACTCACTAAAAGAAGAAGGAAGCGAAAATGCTGGGCTGCGAGACCAACGGCTTGCAATTGAATGGGTCCGCGACAACATTGGGGTCTTTGGGGGTGATCCGGAGAACATCACCATCTTTGGGCAGTCTTCTGGCGGCCTCGCAATTGGTATGCATATTCTTGCGTACGGAGGTGCCAAACCGCCGCCGTTCCAGAGAGCCATCGCAGAGTCACAATCTCTTGAGCCTGGTCTCACAGGCAACTTCTCGAGAGACGCCCTGTCGGCGCTTGTCGAATTTGTTGGATGCAACACCACCGGCCTGCAAGCCCCAAAAACGATCTCTTGTCTGCGTGGAATGGCGACCGATACGTTATTGAACGCCTCCATCACAACGTATGCGAACGATATCGGTCACAACGTCGGAGACATCTGGCTTCCTGTCGTCGACGGTGACTTCCTGCCTGCACCGCCGAGTCAACTCATTGACGAGGGTCGGTTCGGTAACGTGACATTGTTATCTGGGTGGGCGCAAGACGACCTGAATTTTTACACCGACGTGAGCATTGCGACATCGGATGATACCTACAACTTTATGCGTTCATACCTTCCAGCAATGCCCGAGGAGTCACTGGACGACCTGCTGGGTTTGTATCCTGTGGCTGAGTTTACTCCACCATCTGGCACAAACCTAACAGCGGAATTTTATCGTTCGGCAAGAATGTTCAGGGATATTTTGATGGTATGTCCGCCACTCTATCTCGGTGCTGCGATGCACAAGACCTATGGTGGACCCGTGTACCACTACGACTTCAACCAAACTATCCTCGACCCGATCCTGGAGCACACGATCAACGTATCGCATTTGGGCGTAGTGCATACGTCCGAGTTCGCTTACGTCTTTGGTAACGTGGAGGCGTACAACGTATCCGGCAATCCAATCAACGTGACGGCCTCCGACTATGCTCTGCAGAAATGTGCGAGCCGGTCATGGAGCGCCTTCGCGACTACAGGGAACCCAATCAAGGGAGGCGAGGTGACGGTACAGGGTTGGCTGGGTGCCTACATTGCTCCGAACCAGACGCACGTCATGACAGTCGGTGGGCCATGGGAGGGCTGGTGGCCGTTGAGCGGTGCAGATTCGCCAGACGTGGTGTCGAAGCAGAAGTTGGTCGAGAGGTGCGCGTTTCTGAACAGCCCAGATATCATCCGAGGCCTCCAGTATTGATCACAGGTCCGCACTCATTGATCAACGGTCTTACAAAAGGTCTTTTCTGTGCCCGCCTCGGTCCTTTACTTGTTTTCAGCCATGCCAAGAATGAACTCCCATTCTTCTTTGCGTACTCGACAGACGCTTAAGCGTCCATTGGTGATCAGCTGCATGTGTTTCAGCTTGCCTCCTGCCGCTGCGTTCTCTTTGATGCTTCTCAGGTCCACGACATCGTCGAACTTCTTAACAAACTCAACTCCAACGCAGTACCACTTTGGCTTGGCTCGGTCGCTCTTGGGGTCATAGTAGGGGTCCTTGCTGTCGAACGCCGTCTCATCTACCTTGGCTTCTTCGACGACCTTGAGTATGCCAACCACACCCGAAGGCTTTGCATTGCTGTGGTAGAAGAAGCCTAGGTCGCCTTTACGCATAGCTTGCATATTGTTGCGCGCTTGCGGATTTCGCACACCGCCCCAGGGTTCTGGCTTTGTGCAGGCGGCCAGGTCGTCGATCGAGAAGGCGACATTGACACCGTTCTCGAAGCGGGGTAGAGGTTCGGCTTTCATCAGCCAGAACACTTCCTGGCTATCGTCTGCATCACGGTTTGAGTCGTTCCACGGGGCTGCGGGTGGTACAGGCGTCTCTAGGGATTGGGCTTCGGTTGTGGCAGATTTCGGTTCTGGCTTGGACTTGTTGCTCTTCTTGGCTGGTGGCTGGTTGCTGTAGGGCATTGCATTAGATGTGATCTGTAGATAACGACTGAGGGACACACCTCTCATCCTTCTCGTCTTCATCAGCGTCGTCTTCGCGAACACGTTTTTGACGCGTGGACTTTTTGGCATTGCGCTTTGGTGCCACCTTCTCGGAGGCCGAAGAGCTGTCGTCTTTGTACTTTGAGGCAGATGCAGTTGTCTGGCGCGTCGACCGACGTATTCCCGCCATTATGAGCGTGTTGTAGTGGTCTATCGCGGAACTGAAGCAGGAGTTTAGGGCTGCCTCGACGTGATTGGCCGGAATCTTCAGGGTCCTCGCTGCATAAGAAGTAGATCGCCCGCCTGCGCGTCTCCTCTATCCCCGTTATACTGACATTCGGTTTTAACGAAACTTCCATTCGGCGACTGCGATGCACTCCCAACAAGAAGATAGCTATGGAGCTTCCACAATACCTCCTTCTGGACACAGCACACTGTCCCAGTCCTGCGACTGAATGTACTCCTCCATCGTGGTGTACTTGACCTTGAAGGAGAGATCCCAAGGGTAGACGACATTCTTCCCATCGACTCCACAATAGCTGTGCTCCTCGAAAACTGGCACATGTCCGCAATCTCTCGCCCAACGACCCCGGTGGCGTTTTGTATCACCCCACGATCCTGCCTTTCGAACGTGCACTTGACGTCGTTCACCCGACCCCAGATGTTGCACCACTCAGCCCAAGATATGGGTGAGCCAGCTTCCACCAGGTTGGTACCCGATAGTAGATTCAAGAGCGCCTTGACGAACGGGTCTGTGCTGCTGTCAGCTTTCCGAAACGAGCCATGAAGCGGGCCTCTCACCAGTATCAGCATTGGGCTCTACGAACGGCAGTGGCGTGTCTCCGTCCCTTGGCAGGTATATCTTGTATACCCCATCGTCAATCTTTCCTGGCCGACCAGCGCCATCTTTGTACAGCTTCCAGTTGCCAGCATAGCAGCCCAAGGTTAAGAGACTCGTCTTCGCCCACAACTCTGGGTACCTTTTCTTTAGATGCTTCAACATCTCAGCTTTCGAATCGAAGTGGAGATTGAAGTCGATCGCACCTTCGCTAGCATCTCTGGCCGATGAGAGGGTCGAAATTATGAAGCGCTCGAGATCCGGAAGCGTTGCGGCCACCGCGTCGATGAGCGCCTACCCTGAGTTAGCTATCAGTACACTGTGTTGTGTGTGCACATACCCGGCCTTACCTGATCTCTCGCTCGAAGGCAATTGCATTGATCGGTTTACCGCTTTCGGCCGCCTGGCGCTGTACTTTAGGATCCTTAAGATGCTGCCAGAAGTCTGTTACACCGAAGACAATGTTCGCGCCTCGCAGTGCTTTGCACAAAGACTCTGCATCGTCCAAGTCGCCGTACGCGATTTCGATACCTGGCATCTCCCATTGTACAGCAGCCGGACTGGACGGCTTTCTGGTGACACCGTGCATTGTCCACCCAGACTGACTTACGAAAGATCTTGCTACCGATGAACCCTGATAGAGTCATGCATCAGCATATTTGTATCGGTTTCTTATTCTGAACTCGACAAGTGCTTACCTGGGTACCGGTGATGCCAAAGATGACAATCGTCTTTGGGGCGAGGTCCCCAGCCACCATGTCGCCAGGATACAGACTTTCTAGGATGAGAGAAGAAATGTCATTGTGGCGGGATACTTGAGTCTGTTACCTCCTCAAAACTCGTACTGAACGTCCCCTCGCCGTACAACGGCTTGGTAACCCACTATGGTCCGCTGTCGAGCAGCCGAGTAAGTCTTTTCGGATCCGAGTGGCTCACAAAGGGCAACCCTTTGTGAAGCCATGACTCGATCCCCACGCTTCACGCTCAACACGCAGTCTGGCATTATTGTGCAGTGGAGTCGTGTATCTATTGCAGAAAGCTGAGCCTATACTTTTGTCGTATTCATGCATTTCATTGCGATCGAATTCTTTATTTTTTCCTTTTCATACGATACGATCCGACATCCGACGGGACCTGCTAGCTCATGCTCTCTTACCTCTGCTTCACCAATGTCAAGAATTGAATGTCAGCTGTTGGTTAAAGTCGTTGTTCGCAAATATACCCGATACAAGTCGCTCTGGCACTCGCAGTCGCCTCTAAGTCATGACGATGCTGCGTACTGGCCTTGCCCTCGCGTGCCAGAACCGCCAGGGCTTCCCGGGCTGCAACCTACTGTGTATGTCAGACGTACATCTGCACAGAATGACGCATGACTGCATGGGCGACTTGGCGATCACTTGAGATTTCCGTGCGCCGAACTACAGCGTCTCGAATGCCTCGCTAATATTTTCTTTATACATGGTTCAAACCTCCCACTCAGTCGCATCTTTTCCCCTCTTTTCCCGCCACTCCATCATTTTGCAGGCGTTCGATCCATATTCCGTCTGGATCCAGGCATCCGTCACACCGAACGCGTCAAAGCGATCTCTCATATTCAAGTTCATTGACCTCTGCATATTGAACCAACTGCAGTTAATTGGGAACGACTTCACAACCTCCCCCTGTATCCAATACAAGCCCTCCTTAGCTAGCCGGATAGGTGACTCGTCGCTGTACACGTACACGCCAGTCCTGTGGCGGTGGAAACGCTCAAGCAAATCCTCCTGGTCCGAAGGATGCATTTGCAAGAGTACGAGCTGTAGACGGTAGCCGGCTGCTTGCTGGATGAGGGGTTTGCCCATGAATGTGGTACTGGGTATTGGCATGAACCTTGATGTGATGAGACTAGGGTCTGTGTATGCTTCGGTCTCGCGCCTGGAGTTCATCTGCAGAGGATGTGGGTCCTGGCATTGATGGACTGCAACTCGAATGGTAGTCAGCGTTTGATGGAAGGGCGAAAGCAATGATTCCAGCGTTCGCAATTCGTTCCATACCGGAGTGTCCTCATCCAAGGAGCGTTTGTTCTCCATCAAGATGGTAACAGTCCTAACAGAGGCTAGTAGATATGCCACATGCTCGATTGGCGCCGGCTCGGTATGCATGATGACTGATCTCGCGACTGCGTGACACTGCAGATCGGTCGAAGCAGCAGTTTCATGATTGGTCGCGCGTGTTGTCGATATTGTCGCAGCAAGCGTCCGTAGTGAGGGTGACTCTCGATATTCATCACGCAAGCGTGTGCATGTCTGCAGCACCGCCGGTATTGGAGCTTTCGGCACATTGATCGATACGCAATGGACGTGGCGCTTACCGATCTCCCATATCAATTGATGTGGTTGATGCAAGTAGGAGTAAATGTGGTCTCTGATCTCGCGAGGAAGGTCGAGTAAGCGAAGAGCCCCAAGTTCGGTCTCATTCGGTGTGAAAACGGCTGTAGGACCCAGTACAAGACCAAAGTTGTGATCTTCAATGTCAACCTGGTGCGAATCGATTCGCGCAAAGGCAGGCTTTTCGACCATTGGTTTTCCAGCACCTGAATCCATCGTCTTGTTTGGGAATGTCGAAAAGTGCGCGATTGACTCAAGATAAGGGTGCCAGTCACGTGGCCCTCGGAAGAAGATAGGCGGTGAGACACTCATTTGCGAAAACGTTCGATACATGCTCGCCATACTTTACCTTAACAGTCCAGTGCATTGCCGAGACGGACGCAGCACGGGTTGAAGTCTCACTGCGGCTCCATTATTCGAGGATGCGGGTGACGATCCAGGGCCGAGCCTCAGACAATCCCAGTTGCGAAGCTGCTGGGCTGTCACGATTCAAGGTTTTCTGCAGCAATAACAAGGCCGTAATGCCTCGACTTGCGCACGATCTGTATCGCGGCAGAAAACGTATGAGTTTCGCATCCGTGAGATTGCCGAAACAGGCAACGGAAAAGTGGACAAAAAAGGAGATGAAAGGGAACGGCGCTGAGCACGGCAAAATTTCGGATCCGCAGGAACAAGGAACGGAGAAGTTGCGAAGAGGACAAAAGCAACAGCGCATCTTTCCAGCAGCGTCCACCTCACCTTGTTTGTTACTAGACCCCGGACCCTGGCGTATCTTTGACTGTTGTCAACGTCTTCGGTCCCGCACGCCCATGCCCGAGCGTTGTTGTTCCACATTTCGCCCATGTGCATACCTCCATCACAAACAGGATTACAGAGCCTCCCTCACACATCGTCATCTGTGTGATCGATGCCACGATCGATGTTGCGAGGCTGTGAAATGCCCTTTCGATACCTATGGAGAGGAGCAGTATTCACACAGCCAGGCCTCTTCTCACATCTGCTAAAATAAGAATGGTGCTAGGCTCCACCCCTTGGACCCTGCATACTTAGCCATGCAGCCGCTACGTGGCCTGCCTCGCCTCAGTTCTCGACCACAACACACTCCGTCTGTTCCGCAGCACGGACCGCAGAATGCGACCTCTTGTATCAGATCGTCTACCCCATTGGCCAAGGTGTGGCTGGCGTTGAATCGATGGGACGATGTAGCGCAGCTCAACCCCACAAAAATCGCCGCCGAAAGTGGCGGTGTCGTCTGTTGCTGAGACAACTTTCGCGTGAAGTATATGATGACACCGAACATGATGACAGCATAGAGGGGCATGGGGGTTAGTATAAGAGTGATGGACTGCTGAGTGGGATTTTGCTGCTTTTTGCACATCCAGCACCTTTCCTACTCCTTCACAACTCTCAATTCTAGAATCATGTCTTACAATCAAGGCGGGTACGACCAGCAAAGCGGCTACGGCCAAGACAACTACAACAGCGGTGGTGGCCATGGTCAGCAGCAGCAGCACCGCGGTGAGGCCAGCGAGTTCTACAACCAGGGCGGCAACAACGGATACGGCCAGCAACAGCAACAGCCGTATGGCGGCCAGGGTGGCTATGGTCAGGAGCCGCCTCAGTACCAGCAGCTCCCTTCTGCTGCTGCGCATTCTTCAAATTCAGGTCGCAATTCCCACAACCAGGGGTACCAGAACCAGTACAACGGCGAAGGCAACCCAGAGGGCGACCGTGGCATCATGGGAGGCATTGCTGGAGGTGCTGCTGGTGCCTTCGGTGGTCACAAGTTAGGTGGCCAAGCAGGTCACGGCACCGCAGGTACCATCATCGGTGCCATTTCCGGTGCGTTCGCAGGACACAAGGCACAAGACGCTGTTGGCGACTGGAAAGACGAACGCGACGAGAAGAAGAAGTGGGAGAAGCAGCAAGAGGAGCAGCAGAAGTACAACCAGCAACACCATGGTGGCCCACCACCTGAGCACCAGCCTCAGCGCCGTAACAGCGGTGGGGAGCGCTCTCGCGGCGACTTTGGTGGCAACTTCACTGCCTCGTCCCGGGACATTCGCCTAGACGCCCACGGCGACTTCAACCTGCACGCCCAGTGTGCCCGTACTGACGGCTCTCACTCATCAAGCACATTGAGCCTCAACAAGTACATCGAGAACGACAATGGCAGCTTCCGCTGGTCAGGAGGCAGCAGCAATGGCGCTTCCACATACACCGTTCAGCAGGGCGATACACTCCGCGCCATCGCCGCCAGATTCTCGCACTGCTCGTTCGAGGATCTTGCCAGACACAACAACATTACCAACCCCGACCAGATCTGGCCTGGGCAGAACCTACAGGTCCCTGGCGGCGGTACCCGCGGTGGAGGCAACTTCGGTGCCTCGGCTAGGAATGTCAGGTTGGAGCGTGGCGGACAGGAGCTGGTGGCTGAGCTTGCTCCTCAGTGGCATACAAGGACGCTCAATCTCGATGAGAGGATTGGCAACAGGAACGGATGCCTCGAGTTTGTCTAAATTTGAGCTAGACTTGCATCCTGTCACCACGCGACATTGATGCTAGATTGTGTATAAAAGGCTCTCAAAGCCATATTCACTGATCAGTAAACCTTGTATGCCCTGTGTGTCCTTGTCAAACATCTGCCACCCGTCTAATCATACTCCAAAACCGCGCCGCAATCACGATTTTCGAAACTCAACAGCCGCCCCATATCATTGTATCTGAAAACCACTGTAAAAGCTCCTCATGGGCGTCTGCTCTATCTGCGCCCGCGCAATTTCGATCTTCAGGGTCCAATTCCAAGAAGTCGTCATCCAGCTAAAGCAAAATGTTCCCCCCGCCATGTGCAAACATTTAGCGCTACAGCCCTACTTTGACAAATCTCTACCCCGACTCGAGTTCAGACAAGCTGAGCGAGGTTGCATATGCTCTGCCGTGCACTTCGTCCCGGCCCGTACGGCTTGAAAGATACTTTTTACTATCACATGGCTGTTGTTTGCGACTCTCAAAACTCGCGAAACATCCCACCTATATGCTCGCCACTGGTTTATGAGGACCAACCTTCCAAGTGGACTTTCCATTGGAGTTGCGAGTCAATTCAGTTGAAGTCTATGGCTTTTGAACACAGTTTCCTACACGAGAACAGAAAATTGGCTTGCTTCATCGCCCGACACTTTAGAATTGATTGTTTCGATCAATTTCATTGATAAACACGTGGATAACATATCTCTGCGCGTGCCTATACGCGTGAAGGAGTTATGGGCAGACCTAGGTCACGTGAGGCGGCTGGGTATCCTGTGAAAGTAGGTACTTTCATATCATGATCCATCCTTTAGTGGACGAGTCGCAGACATTTCGAACATCTCTGCGGCAGACGCCAACTTTTTTTTAGCTTCCCTCCAAGTATGTCAGCTTCAATTCACGAGCCCGGCGTTGTTCTCGCTTCTCAACATGGTCAAGCTCGACGTTGTCTCCTTCGGGAGGGTCTTCTCCCCCAAGCCTGGACACTCGCTACGGTCCAGATATTGCCATGCACGAGATGCACTGGAAAGGAAGGAGCATCTCGCCAAGTTCTCGGGTCAACTGTGTTGCGCACGGTGGAATCAGGAATGCTTCGAGCTGACGTCTGAGATGTGCGCATCACGCGTAAAAGGCTGTGCTATGGTGTGGTGGATGGCAAGTGTCAGGTCCGACGGCTGGTACATGGGCGTTGTTACTACTGACACCAAGCCCTGATATCTCGACGACCTCCTGGGCCGTGGTTGCGACGTTCAACACCCTCGAAACAATTCCTTGTGTGTGTATAGAGGCTGCAATGGTGCGGGCAGGCCGTTTCAACGCTACTTCACTGTTGCCTTTGCTGAGGTCCATTTTTGTTGAGTGCTCGGCCCCGATGCGATTCGAAGTGACATATGAACGCGGGAGCTGTATATGTGTCGAAGGGAGTCGTGGACACGATCCCACGTGCTACACACTACGCTTGAGGCAACGACCTCGAACAATAACGATTCCGAATCTGTAGATCTTTGAAGTCAGCTAGAGGGGTCGGATCAGTCCGGCGCAACGGGTCGCAGCCCAAAGGGAGACTCCGTACATGGAGGCTTGCTCAGTCCTGAGCTCTGACGTACTATAGCCACCGTTGAAAACATCGGCAATGGAGGCAGCGCTATGCTTCGCTGCTGGAGCGAGCCATGGTGGACAAAGGACGTGTAGGAGCTAGTCAACCAGGGCCGTGCCTCTGCTATTTCGCAATCGGAGTTGTACAATCCTATCAGCATCGTAATGTGCATGCGATCAAAAGTGATGTAACTGGTATTGCGTGCAGAGAGCTACTGAGCAATCCTCTATCTAGGCCACATAAGAAGCCCTGGTAGGATGAATATGAGATCTGGGGTATCGAAGATAGAAAGAGCTAAAGTGCGAGGAAGAGCCGCCGATCATAGTATCATAGAAGAAGTTGCGCCGGGCGGTACAGCCAATGCAGTACACCATAGCACCAGTCAGACCCAAAAGAACGTGCGAAGCATAGGGATAGCCGCGAGGAACGTAGCAAAGCGAAGGCCGTGAAACTACATCAAGCTCAGTACCAACGAGAACCGCCGTTATCTTCCTCTTGCAAGCGATGCGGTATGAGCGGCTCCATGATGCCATAGGCTTTGGTAAACATCTGCCATGTTAGATAATCAATACTAAAGACAGCCTGATGCTTCTGCGCGCCCTGGTCTCGTTGTTCGGATACGCCTCGTGGTGCGGCAGGTGCGAGTAGTGGTAAACCATCATTGTCTTTGACAATCTGCGCGTTACCTTCCCTCACCAAGAAACTGATGTAGAAAAGATTCTCAACCGTCTGTCCAAAGTCGAGAGGATTGATGGCAAAGTCGAAAAGATGGACTGCAGGTTCGCCCTCTGGGGTCTGAGCGACACGATGTCGCGCGAATACAGCAGAGACATACTCTTCTGTCGCGTCATCTTCAGGAATGTCACCCATCTCATCGCTAGCAGCCTCTGCTGCGGTGTTGAGGTGAGATTCCAACCTTGACTTGATTCCTTTGACCACGTGTGTAAGATTCGCGTTCTCTGACTGAGTGATGTCGCCTTCTTTGACTTCTTGTGGTCTTGTCGCAGGGCCAACAGGCGCTCTCCGTTGGGTAGCGCGCCGTTGCGTGGTCCTGACCTTCTTTTGTACAGACAAAGGTCCAAGAAGGAAGTTCGCCGTAGGCGGTCGCTTGTTACTCGGAAAACAAGCTTGTCGTCCAAACAGGGCCCAGTCGAGACCGTCGCCTGTATCGTCCTCCTCATCATCAGCAACAGCAATTGTCGGCGCGTCTTCCTCGCCGTATCTGTAGCCGCCAGATTTCATGAAGTATATGCACTTGGAGACGAACTGGTCGAGATCGACACCAGCCCCACCGCTGCCGTGCAGACTGTTCTGTAGTTTCTTGTTTGCGAGGTCGGTTGCAGTGACCAGGAACCTCGAGTCCACAGTCGCATCTGCTGTTTGCCGCACCTTTCCGAAAGTAGAGTCGTTCTTCCTCAGGAGCTCGTACAGTCCGGTGTTGTTCGCTTTGACAAATTCGCTGCGATTGTCTGGGGCGCGTCAGCCTTGGGCTCTGCCCACAACGACCTCGAATACTCACCCTCCAATTGGCGATGATTCTCGCGCAGCTGGTAGCGGACCTCTCGACGCTTGTTGGGATCCTGGTTGGGGTTGTATAGCTTGCTCTGGCTGTCTTCCTCCTCTTCCTCAGGCTGAGTAGTTGCGGTCCTTCGTCGCTGTGCGCGTTCGGGCTCTTCTTCCTCGTCCGCATAGATCTCGGATCCACCATTCAGATCATAGGTGCCAGTCCGTTGCCGCTTGTTGCCGCCACTGCCTACAGTGGAACCTGTGTCTGGGGTAGGAATACGTCCTGACGCGCTGCCAAGTCCCTTTCGTTTTGCGGGCTGAGGCGTACTCTCGCGCGATTCTGATCCCAAATTCTCCTTATCGGACGATTGGGACGGACTCATGACAGAGTATGTTGTACCACGCGCGCTGCTCGCATTACGGGGCGCGACTGAGGGGTCGCGATAGAGGGAGTCTACAGTCGAGGACCGAGTCTGCAGCGGTGTCGCAGAAGGATGGGTGTTGAGACGCGCCATTTTGGCTTGTCTCGGATCCGAGCGAACGAAGAATGAGCGGTGCTGACGTTGAATGTTGAGAGGCACAGCAGGCTGAGGTGACGGCCAGGACGCGGTTGGCCGTTTGTCTAGCGCGCTTTCGCATGGAAAGTGCGAACCATGGCAGACCGTCATTGGTCACGTGTGAACGCTGCGCGCAATCCTTCGAACGCGTACCCCTGTCTGTCAAGTGGAGCTGGGTGTCCGAGCTCAAGCCTCACCCCACGTTTCGCCCATCTGATCGACTGTCACCATGAGATCCGAACAACTGTCTCGGCGCACTGTTCACGTGCGAACGGATCCTTGGTGACACTCGATACTGCGCGTTCATGGCCTGCGGTAGTGCACAACTTCCTCACCGGTCACGATGGAAGCCTTCAACTTTGCGACGTCACTCGACTTGACGGAGTTGTCGGTGCATGTGAAGATGTGAGCATCTGTCTAGCCAGGAAAGATGTGAGCTAAGTGATGATAGAGACCGTCTAGATGGGAACCAGAAGCAAATACCGTACTCAGCGCTGCTGCGGCGGCCTGATCTCAGGCACCGAGCTTCAAACATCAGGTGAGTGAGTACTACATGTGAGAGAACCCAGGGCTAATGTCGAGACAGTCCCCATTTTGAACTCTACGTGACGGCACAAATATGGGCTGATAGCAAACCGCTCACCATCCCCGTCCAGACCGCCTACAAGTCTTTCAAAAACGCGCGCGTGTGGAATGAATGGCTCGAGATTCCAGTCTCCTATGCCAACCTCCCCGCCTCGGCGCAGCTCGCTATCACACTATGGGACCTTTCACCGCTCGAAGACGCCGACTCGAACATGCATGCTGTGCCCTTTGGCGGCACCACGATACCGCTGTTCGACAAGGACAACACCCTGCAAAAGGGCCGGCAGCGATGCAGGATTCATCGTCATAAGGCTGCAGACGGGCTTTCAAATACAACGACACCGTCAGTGATACCGCCTGCACGAAAGAGTCGAAAGGCTCCGGCTGTCGAGGATACAGTCGATGAGCAGATCGCTGAGATGCAGAGGCTGGAAGAGCTGTTGAAAAAGCAGGAGATGGGTGACCTGCCAACGAATGCATGGCTTGACAACCTTGTTTACAAGAAGATGACGAAGATTCGCAGTGACGCACTGAAGGCCGAGGCAGCTGCATTGAACCGTCGCAAGGGCACAGACGGCACCATCAATGGCACCGCCACTGATGATTCGGACGTGGAATTATTCTATCTCGACATTGAGTTCCCGCGCTTCGATCATGCCATTGTATTTACCGACGTCGAATACCCGCCGCCACCAATATCAGATCTACGGCTTCCTGCAGAGTCAGACATCCGGTTGCGCCCGCCCCCGGAAGTATCATTTGGTCCCGGCATTGACGTAGATGGAATCGGCTATGGGGATTCCGACGCTGGTAGGCTCATTAAGATCTACGACCCCGAGATCGGCCGAAGAGTCAATCCAGCCGAAGACAAGCATCGTGAGCTGATGCGCAGTCAGCAGACGGATTCACTGGACCGTGACAGAAAGCCCAATGTGCACGTGCGCGACAAGCTGAATCTTTTGATGGCAAAGGGCCCGCTCGAGGAAATCACATCACACGAGAGGGATGACATATGGAAGTTCAGATATTTCTTGCTGCGCGACAAGCGTGCTTTGACCAAATTCGTCAAGTGCGTCAACTGGAAGAGTCCAAGAGAAGCTCGCCAAGCTGCGCCCTTACTTGACAAGTGGGCTGAGATCGATGTGGACGACGCTCTTGAACTTCTCGGTCCGCACTTCGATCACCCAGTCGTGCGAAGCTATGCTGTCGAACGTCTTAAGAAGGCCGACGACGAGGAGCTACAATTGTACCTGCTTCAGCTTGTGCAAGCGCTGAAGTACGAGGCAGCGGGGGAAGGTGATGACTCCTCTCTTGCACGCTTTCTGGTCACACGAGCTGCCAGCAGCTTTGCGCTAGGAAACTTCTTCCACTGGTATCTGATGGTTGAGATTAGCGACATGAGCACCGATCAAGAACCAGAGCACCGCGATTTATTCGCCAAGGTTGAGTACGACTTCATGGTCGAGCTTGAAAAGACGCCTGAGGGTGTCGAGACCCGCAACGCCTTCCGCCGTCAAGGTGAGCTGCTCACCATCTTGGCCAAGATTTCGAAAGACGTGCGCTTCGGCGGCGGCGATCGACCCACGAAACTCGCCCGCCTCAAGAAGGCGCTTGCCGACCCCAAGAACGAACTTACAAACTTCGAGCCTCTCCCACTGCCACTCGACCCCTCGGTCTACATCACCGGCATCGACTCTGAGGACTGCAACGTACTGAAGTCCTCACTTTTACCTATTGTCCTCAATTTTCGCACCAGTCACTCGCAGAAGTACCCCATCATCTTCAAATTCGGTGATGATTTGCGCCAAGATCAGCTCGTCATCCAGATCATTACACTTATGGACCGACTTCTGCGCAAAGAGAATCTCGATCTGAGACTAACGCCCTACCGTATCCTCGCGACCTCCACCTCCGCAGGCGCCTTCCAATTCGTGCCCTCCATGAGCATCGCTGCCGCGTGCCAGAAGCATAAAGGCTCTTTGCTCGCCTACCTGCGCGCCAACAACCCCGACCCCACCGCGGACCTGGGCGTCACCAAAGAAGCCATGGATACGTACATCAAGTCCTGTGCCGGATACTGCGTCATCACGTACCTTCTCGGTGTCGGCGACAGACATCTGGATAACCTGCTGATTGCGCCCTCGGGCGCTTTCTTCCACGTCGATTTCGGCTACATCCTTGGTCGCGATCCGAAGCCCTTCGCGCCGCAAATGAAGCTCTGTCGGGAGATGATCGAGGGTATGGGCGGCGCCACGCATCCCAATTATCTCTCCTTTAAGGAGTACGCATTCACAGCGTGGTCGACGCTGCGCAAGAGTAGCAACTTGCTGTTGAATCTGTTTGCGCTCATGCAGGGCGCTAACATTCCGGATATCAAAGTCGAAAGAGAGGGCAGTGTGAGAAAAGTCCAGGAAAGAATGTGGATGGGCAAGAGCGAGGGCGAGGCTGCGGAGATGTTTGAGCGGCTCGTTGAGGAGAGTATGGGTGATTGGAAGGCGGGGGTTATCGATTGGGCGCATGAGTTTGTGCAGACTTATTGGCGTAAATGAAGCGAGCGCAGCGTGTGGTAATAGCGGGGCCATTTGAATAGCAGCGTAGGGCAAGGCTCTCCAGTCCTCGACTTCGGGGTCACCTCTTTCCCCCTCGCTCTTGGACTCGGTGCACTCAGAGGATTGCGCCTCTATCGCAGCGACCATCTTCCAGTGTTCCCGCTACTGAGCGCCGCGCCGCGCCGCTCTGATATGAGTGCTGCGCAATATTGCACGTATGCCCATGACTGCTCTTACGTTGGAACTTCTTCCGGAGTAAGTTCGCGCGCTTCTGGCCGGAATTTTCGGCCATGGAATGTTGCCATGTCGTGTTCACGAGTCTCTGTGAGAAGTTGCAGCGTTACAAGGGTCTCGCATTTGCTGTTGGTACGGTAGCGGCCATGATGAACCGCGCCGCGATGTGCGGAGTGCTATTTCATCGATGTGTGATCTGCGATGTGGGACATGTGATAGATTTGCAGTTTGGACGTGTGCACTGGAGGTAAAAATTTGAGTGGGTTTGCAGAAGGGTCACTTTGAGTCTCCTCGTCACCGTTTGTGTGGGGCCTTTCTGTCCGTTTCTTGTCATTATCTTGGGTAAGCTGTGCTTGATTGCGCATAGTAAATGACAACCAGGCCTTCGGATGTATATCGCGACCCTCTTCCTACTCAAATTGCATGTTCATATCAGGCTATATCGAGTACGATCGTTGTTCATCCTCGGTCCGAATACATATCTCAGTATGCGACCGCTTTCTGAGCCTTCAGGCGTCTGATTTCCTGTGACTTCCCACCACGCCCATCGTGGATGTAATTGGAGATTTTATATACAAATTCACTTGCAGGTGCACCGTGAGAATAGGAATCAGAGTCTTGAAGACTCTCACTCTCAGCATAACAATGCGACCCGTCACATAAAGCGGGTGTACCACCCAGCGCAATGTTTGATCTCATACTCTCAACATCTTCAACTGTGCCTTCCAGAACAACCTCCGAACTGAGCGACCCTTACTCCTAGGTATGTTCAGCCTCCCCACGGTTATTTCCAGAGTCTGCCCCAGAGTCTGCTGCCGTCTAGATCTGAGGCCAAAGAAGCCTTCGCGCAGTAGTTTGCCAGTAAGCAATGACTGACTTTGAGATCGTCCGTGACACTGACCAATACTTGGATCTCTCCGTGACGTGTCATCGCAAAGTCGTGTTGATGGACTGGACAGCCGTGGCCCAGTGCAAGTTTCGTCACTTCAGGGACCTGCTGGGCGAGGTCCGTGACAAAATCTACGGCTTCGTCATGGCCGGAGAGTTATACAACCCAATCATCTACCAGATCAATAACCGTGGCATCTAGGCCCTGGAACGGCGTGAGCTCCTCCACAATCGTACCCGCGACGACACCATTAGGCCCCGAATCTTGCCCGCGGTGTGTCGCGTTTCCCGTGCGATGCAACGTGAGACGGTGAACCGCTTCATCAGCAACTTGACCTTCTTCGTCTGCTCTACCAAGAACAATGGCTTCCTGAAGACCTGGCTCAACAACGTTCCTAAAGGCCTGGCATCGGTTCGCTCGCTGCATTTCGACTTGTTCGGCAGCTTCCCTCCTGGATTCTCCCGGAATGCCGACTTGGAGCTTGCTGCACGCCGTCCAGGTATGACCGACATCAAGATCGCATTTCATAGCAAGTCTTTGCGTGCCTACGACCTACCCGGAGACGATGATCGGCGCCCGATTATTCCTCATTCGACTGCAGAGATATGGTGTTACTACAAGCTCGACTGCCTGTTGGAGTGCATAAGCCTCAAACGAGTGCAGGTTTTTCGTAAAGGCTTCGTGTGTACTGAGGCAGTATGTCGCGAAGCTCGCTTGGGATTGCAAGAAAGTTCGCTGGCGACATGCTTCGATGCGGGCACAGACAGTGACGAGCGGATGTGATGAGGCATGGCTTGGTTCACAAGGAGTGCTCCATTAGGTAGCGCCACGCTACCGTATGCCATTCCGATCTTAGTATATTCCCAAACCCTCCCGGCCTCTCCAAGCCGACAACTCTCATCATCACGACCCACAATCTTACAGTAGCAGATTCACCTGCAACGTTTGAGCGCCCATCAATCTCGCCGCCTCGCGATACTGTCCGACCAAGCATCTTGCCAACTCTACCACACATTGTTTTTAGGATCTGGGGGTTGAGATTCTCCGAACTCAAGATCAAAGAAGTAGTCATCATGATACTGAGATCCGATCCTCAGCCTCCAATGGTCAAAGACCCGATCGACTGTCCAGTTCCTCTGCACAGTCGCATCACGGGCATATAAGACTGCAGCTGTCTTTTGCACATCGTGGAGCCCCAGATCAAGCCCGTAACCTTCCGTAATCAGTGAACTCATACTTATGCTACAACCGGCTCCGCCTCGAACTAGCAGAGACCCTTCTAGTGCATAGATAGGATGCTCAAACAGATGCTGCAGCTCAGACTCAACCCGTTGCTGCCCGAAAGGGAATCGCAACGTTGTGACAGCACGCTCACTGACATGGTGGGAAGTGTGTTGTAGAACAACTCGAACAGACTGCAGCTGCTTGGAACGACGCCAAATAGACTGCGATTTTCTCGATTTCTTTCCATCCAATGTTTCGATGCTGCTCCTCCAAGTTCACATATATTGTCGCGTGCTTGACATGCTCCAGGTAGCGTGACAAGTATGGTAGAAGTCTGAAGCCGTCTTGAACATGTGGACGGTTTTTGAAACTTACAAAAGAATTGCAGAAGCAGTTTTCAAGATATTCGCTGTATATCTGCTTATTTATAAGCTGTATCTCAAGGACCGGTGCTTCGTGCAACTTGACATCGACTGGACATTTGCCTTGTCGTTTCTTGCAGCTAGCCAAGCAGTCCCAGCAGTACAATAAGAACTCATAAAGATGATCGTAAATTAGGTTACGAACCTCGAGGGGAAGGCCCAGTAGATCAGGAGTTGCCACAGTCGGATTCCTTGATTGAACGCTCCCGGGTCTCAGTAATAGTCTGGAACAGCTGCTGGCTAAATATTATCTATCTAGATTGCTCGTTGTAAGCAAGTACGCGCATGGGGCCAATCTCGCGCATGGGGCCAATTTCACATCGCTCAAGTTTGCTGACTAGCAAGCTCTCAAAGCAAAGCGTGCCAGACGCATGTGACCTACAAATATCAGTTTACTCTGGTTGAACCGGCGTATCCTGTGACCCAAGTCATGCTGGCAATCGGATTTGTGGCAATAAGCTCGATCCAAGCACCCTGACCGCTTCCAGACTCAAAGGAAGACGCGTAGAGTCTTCACGTCAATTGTAGCATCATATTAGATCGTGCAGCATCTGGAGCTATGCATACCAGCTGAGACATTCTTCTCTAGTCATCGCTACGGTGATACCGACCCTTTTTCATCCATCTATCTTGTACCTCACGGATAACGATTGTCCTTCCAACCAAGCGCCTTGTTTGGCAAGATCGTAAACAGATCTGCATGCTCTCGGCGTAGATGATTGAGCCTCCTCTTTGGATAGGCCATGGGCTTAAGCGATGCTAGGACCTCCTCTGGGGTCCAAGTATCCCCATCTGCCGAGGCGTTAGTGTATAAATAGGCTGAAAACGTTACGACGAGATGACCAGGGCCTCTCCAACCATGTCGAAAGAAATTTTTCACGTGTCCCACAGTACAGCCTGTTCCCTTCTGTACGAGGCGAAGGCCAAGCAGCCGAAACGGCGACGGCGTTTCGGTCATGTTGTAGTATGCCAAGTTCCTGGGTAACGCTTCGCTGGTCCATTCACTCTCGTCCCACTGCTCCCGGATGCGTAGGGTGTGTAAAGCTGGGAGCCAGCGGATGGTATTTTCAAAGTAACTTTTGCAGTGGTCAAGGCTTCTAAAGCCAAACACGGAGTCGAAGTAGAATGTCACTCGGCTTACACGAGCGAGCGCAGCGTGGTCTTTTGGCGTGACAAACCGACCTTCAGATGTGAATCGATTAGCTTCGAGCCATATCTTCGCGGAGAGATGCCAGAAGCATTTTGCATGCTGGTATTCTTTGTAAAGTCGAGAACACACGAGCAAGACGTTGGGGTACGGTGCACCTGCGATGACAGTTTTTAGCCGCCAATCCTGTGCGAAAAGGAGAACATGCAATGATAGGTCTTTGTAAAGGTAGCCATAAATTTGGTCTCGAATTTCGCGAGGAATGTTGAGGAGATGAGGAGCTCCCAAAGACAGCATCTTAAGCTGTGAAGGGAGTTGACTTGGGCGTTCGTGGTTGTATTTAAACCGGTATTGCCCAGCACGTGTTAGTTTACAAACAGCAAGCAAGACCGCTACAGTGCAAGAGATCTAGTTCAACGTGGCGTTAGTGAGTCCAAATGACTTACGGAATGGCAATCAAGGTTGGAAGGAACCACGCTGTAAGAATACCATGTGCTGCACAAATATTTGCTGCCTTACGAATAGTATTCCATATGCGTAGGTGTTTTCTCAGCACACACTAAGATCACCAATCTCAGTATTCCTTTCAAGACCGATGGCTTCCTTGATTTAACCTTCATACCTAGCTAACGCTTGCATCCAGTTCTCCAAGCAATCGCTGCGAGCGCGACAACACGGCGCAGGTAGTCATGCAGGTTAAGAATCAGCGTTGCTGACTGGACGAAGTACTGAAATCTATGGCTACGGTGTAGGTGCACGGCAACAGTACGTAGCTGTAGATAAAGCCAAAATACGCCAGTCCTCCCAGTTGTAGCAAGGTATCGGCTTTGAGTCATCCAACACTGCAGGCAGGCTACAGCAGTGTCGGCTTTGACCCATAAGCACACGCCCGTGCTACTCGCCTTGTTCATGCGAGGCTGCGGTTTGAGCGAGCTGAGAGCAAAGAAAAGTGCACGGAGGGTGGAGTGCAGCAAACAGCAGGCGCGGTCACAGGTGCAGGTGAACTGGACAACATCGCCAAGTCAACAAGTCTATCCGAAACAGCCCTGAGATATCGCTGGTTTGACAGCTACACGCAGATCCATTCAAAACCAGTCTTTCCCGTTCCCGCGTAAACATCCCCGTCTAGCTCTGATACGCATCACGGTCCTCTTCCTTCCCATCCACAACCCTCGGAGCCATACTGTTCGCCGCTTTCATCAATTTGGCAAATCTGGGGGCATATGAGCTGCGATATGCCGCGTCATTCTCTGCGGTAGATTCCAATGTGTAAGATCTTCTGGTGCCCAAAAGGCCGCTCGTGAAGACTGGGAGCTGAACACCGAAGCCTGCACCCTCTCAGAACCCTGAACAACCACCTCTCCCATCTTCAGCCCCTCTTGTTCTGAATCTTCTAGCGCTGTCTCGATGCTGACGGACTGTCTGATGCCTGTGGCTAGCTGCACTCGGCGGAGTGTGTGGGCAGCTGCAGAGATCGACGAGATGGATGGTGGCGGACGAGATGATTTGTGGAATGTTGTGCCCTGGCTCAGGCGGAGTGTGTGCAGGAGCGGAATTCTCGTGGCAAATTTGGCGAGCAGGTTACTGAGATTGTACAATCCCAGTACATGCCGAGTGTGTAGGTATTGTACGGTCGCAATCTTGACGTGCGACAAGGCATCCATGTCCCGCTTCACCGAGACTAAATCTGTGATTTAGTCCCCGTCGCAGAGCCTTGCAGAGATCATCCGTTTGATGATGGTGGCGGACAGCGCGAGGAAAGTGTTTGACTGTTTTGTTTGTATTCATCGTGCAGCCGTGAGTGACTGAGGTAAACATTCAGGTATGGAGCGTTGCTAAGTACAACGATCACAAGCGAGTCCCCAATTGTCTTGATTCCACGCAGCTCGACCGCTTGCGTTAAGCGCTTGTATATCAGACTTCGAATATCTAGTGGTGCCGTAAGGAGATGCGTCGCAGAACAGTCTGAAGACATTGTTCATTCGTTTGTGCGTGCGTGCAAAGTTCATGGTTCGAGATCGCCTGAGTATGGATTTGGGTAGTATTTGGAGAGTGGTTGGACTCTGTTGATGAACGAAAGTTGTGGAGGCGGGAAGGGAAAATCCTACAATATCAGAGCGACTTTGGCTTGGAGCCTCCGTGAAAGTGCCCGCACGTGGGGACGAAGTGAAGCCCAGTTCCTGCATGGCAGTTGTCGCGATCTCAAACTCTACGTCAGTCAGTTCGTACCTAATCCACAGTCCGGCTGGAATCGAGTGCAGAGCTGTAGGTGTTGGACAAATATGTGCGCAGCTGACGAGCGAAGTGATGAAGTAAGCACAATATTCAGATCCTATGCCAGAGAAGCAGATGTCCTCTGGGAGTAAGAGGTACGTGTATAAAGGAAGGAGGAAGGCACGAGGAAGAAAGAGGCATGCAGAGGCAGGAGGTGCGTAGTAGAAAGAAGCAGCTACGTCAACTTTGAGAAGCAGCTACAAAGCAGCAAAAAGGCGATGAATACTGTATTGCAACAACTGCATTAACAACCACTGAATAATTAAGCGCAGCAACAACCACTGAATAATTAAGCGCAGCTGCAGCCGTCTACGGAGTAACTCAGCAGTCTACGGAGTAGCTCAGCTGCGCGCGTCTTTGGGTCCGTTCACTTCCCCAAGGCTCGTCATCTGTGGCACGTGGCAGAGTGTGGAAGGCAAAGGCCTCGAATGAGTAGCATGGAGGCCATCTCGCAATATACTCGGATCGCGAGTGATGCGGGTAGGCAGCTGCCGAGGTTATGGGTTTGGTGTCTGGGCAGACGCTGCAAAGGCCTTGATCGATCCCAATACTATGAAGACGCATGGGCACGAAGCTGTGAATTGGCCACCTCCTCCGCCCCAGACGCGCGGCGCGTAGGAAAGCCGTGGGCGTGGTAGGTGCTATCTAAGCAGCAGGCAAGACGCAGCAGCAGCGTGCGATCGACGGCCTCGCGCTGAAGGGCGGCAAGGGCGACGGCGGCTGTTGGGTTGAGTATTGGACGAGATGTTGATTTGTCACTGGGGTGTGCGAGCAGCTCAATCTTTTCACTGACTCATGCTCCCACTCCGAGTCCTGCTACGACTCCTACTGCGACTCCTACTGCGGCTCCTACTGCGACTCCTACTGCGACTCCTGCTACGACTCCTACTGTGATTCCTACTGCGTCCTCCATCGCTCATCGCCCCGGGACTGCGGCTCCGCCGCCGATCTCGGCTAGCGCAACTTCTGCTCCTGCTTCGCCGGTCGTCGTAGCTCCGACTCCTGCTTCGCCTGCTATCGTAGCTTCTGCTGCGACTCCTGCTGTCATAACTGCGACTCCTGTAACTCCTCGCGCTCCCATCACCCACGCTGCGCTCCCTCTCGCCCGCCGCCATCCTCTCCTCCTCCTCATCCAGCGCGTCAATCTCATCTCCCAACGGGCTCTCCCTGGGCTCCAGCAGATCCAGATCCTCGAGGTGACCCCTGGCGGGCAGTTTCCACAGACTGGTGGCGCAGATGCGGTCCTTGGTGAGCAGGTCGTCGACGAACTGGTCGACGTAGGTCAGGGAGAAGTTCTCCTTGAGTCGGCGCTTGATCTTGCGGTAGTCGGTCAGCAGCGGCTCGAGCGTGGTGTAGATTTCGACGGGTTGCCAGGCGAGGCGGATGTAGAAGGCGGCCAGGCAGCGGAGGTATTTGAATGTGCCGCGTTTGCCTGCGGCGTTGGGGTCGGTCTTGGTCTCAGGGGTTTCTGAGCCCGTGTCGCCGAGCTCTTTGTGCTCGTCTTCGGCCTTGATGGCGTGTGCCGCGGTCTCGTCGTGGTCCTCGTCCTCGTCGTCCCCCGCGAAATTGAGCATCTCCAGCACAATCCCCTTCTCGGGCACAAGCTGCAGCATCTTGAACGCCAGACACAGGAACGGCGTCGGCCGCCCCGTGATACCGCTCGTGCCGCCGATGAACTTGAGCTCCACTGCGCGGTCGCACAGCGTCGCGGCGTTGAGTCCGAAGCACTGCTCTTTCCAGTAATAGCTCTCTGTGATGCGCTCGCGGACGCCCTTTTCGAAGAGCAGCGCTGGGTTCTGGCCGCGGATCAGGGCGCCTGAGTAGCCGCGGTCGTCGAGGAGCGCGGAGGCGTCGGCGCGGTCGTAGGTTGGTTTGGACATGGTTGCGTGGGGTGACTACTGCATGCTCGAGGTATTGAGGGTGTTGGGGTGTTGAGGGTGTTGGGGTGTTGAGGTGTTGAGGGTGTTGAGGGTGTTGAGGGTGTTGAGGGTGTTGAGGTGTTGAGGTGTTGAGGTTGTTGAGGGTGTTGAGAGAGGTGCGCGAGTCGTGAATTGGGCAGGCGGGGTGCTGCGATATGGTGTTCGCGATGGTGAAGCTCGTCGCATTCGTCGCGAATTTCGGGAGGCCATCCCTGCGCGCTGCCTTGTCGATTGTCGCCCCATCAACGGGGGGGCCTGTCAACACTCAGCCCTACGCAGTCTGGCCCGCCGAGCAACGTCACACGCGTTTGAGCGACGCCAGGCTACGCGCGCTGCACACACCATCTTGTTACTGTATCGTGACGGTATCCGCTGGCTGCCTGTACTCTATACCTTTTGACCTAGCATCGCATGCGCGAAACATGGGCAGGCTGCTGCTCACAAGCGGGCAGGTGTCCGTCATCCTGTCCGCCATCATCAGTACGCGCACACGCGCCCATCAGACGAACTCTGGCTAACACCGGCAGTCTCCGCATTCACATTCGCGCTGTTCCTCTCCGGCTATGTGCTGCAACAGCGCTATGTCCACAATCTCCAGGCGGTAATCAAGCCGCGCATACCAAAACCACTGCCTGTACCCAAGGCAGTCGAACCGCCGACCCTCGATGAGAAGTGGGCGCGACCTGTGGGCGGCGGGCGGCAAGTCGAGGACACAGTGGCGCAGTACATGGGCGGGCAGGAGCTGGACTGGAGCAGACTGGGCTACGTGCAGGTGGTGCGGGAACACGTCGAGCTGTGCAGCGCCGTGATGCTGCTGTCCGACTTGCACAAGATGAAGAGCCCGGCAAGGAGGGTGCTGGTGTTCCCGAAGCTGTGGCTGCAGGAGGCAGACGACGACAAGTACAGCGCCGAGATGTCGACGACACGGAGACTACTTGGCACTGCGGCGCGGCGGTACGGAGTCACGCTGATTCCCATGGAGCCCATGCTCGACGGCGCAGACGGCACGCTGCCCTCGTCGTACTCGCTGGCCAGTCTGTACTCGCTGGTCGACTACGAGCGGCTCATGTACCTGCAGGGCCCTGGCGTGCTGCTCGACGCCTCGTCGCTGGACTCGCTGCTCGCATTCTCAAAGTCGGAGCCCATGGCCGCCTACCCAGCGTCCCCAGAGAGAAAGGACATGTCCATGTCGCTCCTCATGATCCACCCAACGCAGGCCTCGTTCCAGCAGCTCAAAGCGCTGCGCTCGGCGAAACCCACGTCAGACCTCGACCTCTTCCGCGCGACCTTTAGCGTGCCCTCGTCGCTCATGTCAGAATGGTCGCTCTCCATGGGCAACGTCGTGTACGAGTCACGTGACCTGCGCAGCGTGCCCGCCAGCTTCAACGCCACGGCCTTCGAGCAGGCGACGACGTTTGTGCGGCTATCGGACCCAGAGATGCCAGGCCCAGAGTACGACGTGCCGTACAGCACGCGGCTCAGGCTGCGGCCGCAGAACGAGCAGGCCCAGGAGGCGTGGAGCCGGCTGTACGAGCGGTTCAGACAGCAGCGCATGGAGGTGTGCGGGCTAGATCTCGAGTACTACAGCCCGCTGGTGCTGGCGGGGCTGGGTCAGGAGCTGAGCGACGAGCTGTGAGGCATATACAAGCAGTGCTGCAGTAATGATGAGACGAATGTACGGTTGTATTTTTAGTTGACTAGTTATCCACAGTGAGCATTGGATGCATCCAAGGTCGAGACCATCACATGTGGGAAAGATCGGCGGGTGAGAGCCCGGGCCATGACGCAAGCACGGCGGCACCGAGCTGCCCCGTGTACTTGGTAGCTGTGCAGCTGTGCAGCTGTGCAGCGGCATTGAAGGCCTGCACGGGGCACGGTAGCAGACACGGAGCCGTGGCAGAGCGTGCAGACGCATTCGATGGCTGCAACAGAGGGTAATAGTGACGCGAGAGTGTCTGGCGCCGTGTCCATGTTTGCAGCGTGAAACAGGGCGCGGTGCTGCGTGACGGCCCTGCGCGCGCTGGATCGCCGTCGGTAGCTGCTTCCCCGCCTCCAGTAGTCCAGCCTCAACCAGGCCAGCCCACGGCGTGCAGCTCAGACTCTGCCCCCAAACCCCTGTGCCATTGTTCCCCCCCCCTTCCCTCCCCCACGTCCCAGCTGCAGCGACCGTCGACCTCGCCGCGCGCCCGATTGCACCGATCGAAGACCAGCTGCGAGCGTCCGCGCACCGGCAGTCCCCAGACGACGGCCGAGGACTGCGACACAGCTCGCTCCCAGCATCGCAGGGTAGCGCAGGGCATCTCCCAGGGCCTCTCTCAGGGCCTCTCCCAGGGCCTCTCCCGCAGCACCCAGGGCGCATTCCGCACGCCCACCCCCAGGGCCCGCCGCTCCACCGCCTCGCCCGATGCCGACCCTCGGATTCCTCAAGAAGAAGCGGACGAAGGACTCGGGCGGCTCCAAGGACCTCGACTCGCCGACGTCGCCCATCAAAGAAACGTCGTCGGGCTCGCCCACGGCCCCAACCTCGTCCCGGCACCGCACCTCGGGCTCGTTCCACCTGACCAAGACGCGCACCAACGACAGCGCCCACGGCCACGGCCACGGCCACGCCACCAGTCCGCAGGCGAGCACCGCGCAGAGCCCGCAGGCGCCGCACGCACCGCATGCGTCCGCGCCCGCGCCACACAAGGCCGCCGACTCGATGAGCCCCGCCTACAGCCCGCACCCCGTCGCGAGCCCGCACAGCAACGCCCCGGCGCCGGCCGCGCACCACGTGGCGAGCATACAAAACCTGATCCACCCCACCAACCACGACCACAATGGCCCGGCCAGCCCTGCCGGCGGCGTCAAGAACGCCGCCGTGCAGTTCCAGTCGCAGCCGCTCAACCAGGCCCGCGTCACCAAGGGCAAGTACTCGCTGACGGACTTTGCCATTCAGCGCACGCTCGGCACGGGCTCTTTCGGGCGCGTGCACCTCGTCCAGAGCAAGCACAACCAGCGCTTCTACGCCGTCAAGGTGCTGAAGAAGGCCCAGGTGGTCAAGATGAAGCAGGTCGAGCACACCAACGACGAGCGCCGCATGCTGCAGCAGGTCAAGCACCCCTTCCTCATCACCCTGTGGGGCACCTTCCAGGACAGCAAGAACCTGTACATGGTCATGGACTTTGTCGAGGGTGGCGAGCTGTTTAGTCTGCTGCGCAAGTCGCAGCGCTTCCCCAACCCCGTCGCCAAGTTTTACGCCGCCGAGGTGACCCTGGCGCTCGACTACCTGCACTCGCACAACATCATCTACCGCGACCTGAAGCCCGAGAACCTGCTGCTCGACCGCCACGGCCACCTCAAAATCACCGACTTTGGCTTCGCCAAGGAGGTGCCCGACATCACCTGGACCCTGTGCGGCACCCCAGACTACCTGGCCCCCGAGGTCGTCGCCAGCAAGGGCTACAACAAGTCGGTCGACTGGTAAGTCGCTCTCACGCCCGACCTGCATCCCCTGCTAACACGCCCAGGTGGTCCCTCGGCATCCTCATCTTTGAAATGCTGTGCGGCTTCACCCCCTTTTGGGACGGCGGCTCGCCCATGAAGATTTACGAAAACATTCTCAAATCGCGCGTCAAATATCCGCCCTACATCCACCCCGACGCGCACGACCTGCTGCAAAAGCTCATCACCCCCGACCTCACCAAGCGGCTCGGCAACCTGCACGGCGGCAGCAAAGACGTCATGAACCACCCGTGGTTCGCAGAGGTGACGTGGGACCGCCTGCAGAAGAAGGACATTGACGCCCCGTACGTCCCGCCCGTGCGCGCAGGCGTCGGCGACGCGAGCCAGTTCGACAAATATCCCGAGGAGACGGAGGCGTACGGCCAGGCAGGCGACGACCCGTGCGTGGCGAAGCCCCCTTATGATATCGAGCATGTGCTAAACTGTCCCAACAGGCATGGCCACCTCTTCCCAGACTTTTAGCCGCCGACCCGTTCCCGCAGTCCTTACCCGCGCCCGCGCCCCGCGCGGCGCCGAAGAAAGGGCGCCGAAGACAGTCGCGGCTTCTCCTTTTGAGAGCGCATCATGTACGCGAGCTGCGCTCCTGCCGCACCGCGCCTCTCTGTTCGCTCTTGTCGCCTCTCTGTTCGCTCTTGCCGCCTCTCTGTTCGCTCTTACCGCCTCTCTGTTCGCTCTTACCGCCTCTCTGCTATGAGATGCTGTTCTACGCTACCTCATCAGAATATCCTTGGCCATCCCATCCTTGATCATCCTATCCTTGATCATCTTATCCTATCCCATCTATCCTATCCCATCTATCCTGTCCCTCCTATCCCAGGCGGCAGTGTGTTCCGCCCGTGTACTTCTCTCCTTATCTTTGTCGCTGCTTTCTCCGTCGAAGCAGGTTGGATACGTAGCCGATTGAGGCGAGTCGGTGGGCCCTGTATTCTGGACCTGTGTCTGTAGGAACCGTGGTCATGCTGGTGACCGGACGGCGTAGAGGTAGTCTTGTAGCGCCAGCGAAAAACAGATTCTTTACATTTTTCCGTTTGGGGCGTGAATGTGCACGCGATATTCGCGGTTTGGCCGGTGGACGAGCAGTTTTATGCTGGACTACGGTCTACACAGCGAGCGAGAGCGATGGTGACGTCATGTAGATTGGGTCGTGTACTGTGTGGTGTTGGGATACTGCA